GTTATACTCCAAATCAAAGAGCCTGGGGTGCCCAAGAAGATAAAAAATATATTAAAAGAAAGTGGTAGAAGTTCTTCTATAGCAGACCAGCCATTCCAAAGATGTTAGCTCCTAAGTTTGTGAAGCAAATTCATCAAGAAACTCATATAAGAAAAACAGCATTAGAAACGTTATATAGTGCCATTTCTTTCTTTCCTTTTTTTTGTTTTTGAGACGGAGTCTTGCTTTGTCGCCCAGGCTGGAGTGCAGTGGCACGATCTCGGCTCACTGCAACTTCTGCTCCCGGGTTCAAGAGTTTCTTCTGCCTCAGCCTCCCTACTAGCTGGGATTACTAGGTGCCCATCAACACGATCGGATTTTTTTTTTTTAATTTTTAGTAGAGCTGGGTTGTCACCATGTTGGTCAGACTGGTCTTGAAATCTGGACCTCATAATCTGCCTGCCTTAGCCTCCCAAAGTGCTGGGATTACAGGTGTGAGCCACTGCACCAGGCCACGAAAGAGCCATTTTTATGTGCTGCAGCTCTCTGCTGTCACTCTAGTGGTTTGTGAACAATGCTTAACCTGTGCTCAGAATAAGCCACGACAGGGGCCCACTCAGCCCCAAGAATTCACGAAGTAGGAGCCAGGCCTTGTGAAAACTTGCTTATAAACTTTACTGAACTGCCCCATGCCAGAGGCTATTGGTATATGCTAGTGCTTAGTTGTACCTTTTCAGGATAAGTTAAGGCTTTCCCCACCACAACAGAAAAAGCACAAGACGTGACTAAAGTACTGATAAAAGACCTTATCCCCAGGTTTGGACTGCCTCTAACTTTAAAGTCAGACAACAGGCCGGCATCTATAGCTGAAATAGTGTAAGATTTTACAAGACTGCTAAAAATAAAATAGAAGTTACACACAGACTGTCAGCCGCAAAGTTCAAGGAAAGTAAAACGCATGAACTGGACACTCAAGTAGCTACTGAAGAAATCTTGCCAAGAAACTCATCTGAGATAAGATCAGGTCTTTCCTATGGTCCTCCTCTGAGTCAGGTGCACCCCCACCAAACAAACTAAGTATTCACCTTATGAGAGTTTGTTCAGTCAGCCTCGTCCAATCATAAGTCAAATTAAAAGTGATCTCCAAGAACTAGAGGATTAACTTTAAGAAAGCAAATGGAGGTTTTCAGAATAGCCATGCAAGAAGTCCATCACTGAATATGAGAAAGAAGGCCTGTAAGTCTGACAGATCCAGTACACCCCTTTAAACCCAGAGACTCTGTTTAAGTTAAAAAGTAGAATCCAGCTTCTCTAGGACCCATATAGGATGGGCCCTATACTGTAATCTTGTCCACACCCACTGCTGTTAAACTTGCAGGAATCGTGCCTTAGATCCACCACAGTCAGCTGAAACCGGCAGCTCAGGACAAGTGGACCAGCCAGCAAGACCCAGATCATCCAACTGGACTGATCGTGAGATGAGACCAAGCTGCTGCTGAGGACGACAGCCCTGTTCTGGTCACTCCGGAGGCTGACCAGTCTATGCAGGGCTGAAGCTCGAGGGGACGACAAGCCCTGCTCTAGTCACACACTGGAAGCTGACAAGTCTACCCACAGCTGAAGCTTGGGGAGTAGTCAAGCAAGTAAATGTGGTTAGAAATCTTAAGAGTAGGCCGGGCGCGGTGGCTCAAGCCTGTAATCCCAGCACTTTGGGAGGCTGAGACGGGCGGATCACGAGGTTAGGAGATCGAGACCATCCTGGCTAACACGGTGAAACCGGTCTCTACTAAAAATACAAAAAATTAGCCGGGTGCGGTGGCGGGCACCTGTAGTCCCAGCTAGTCCGGAGGCTGAAGCAGGAGAATGGCGTGAACCCGGGAGGCGGAGCTTGCAGTGAGGTGAGATCGTGCCACTGCACTCCAGCCTGGGCCACAAGAGAGACTTCATCTCAAAAAAAAAAAAAAAAAAAAAAAAAAAAGAACTTGTATTTATAAAGGCCAGGAGGCCAAGACGGGTGGATCACCTGAGGTCGGGAGTTTGAGACCAGCCTCACCAACATGGAGAAACCTTGTATTGAAAAAAATACAAAGTTCACCAGGCATGGTGGTGCATGCCTGTAATCACAGCCTTTCAGGAGGCTCAGGCAGGAGAATCTCTTGAACCGAGGAGTGGAGGTTGTGGTGAGCCGTGATCATGCCATTGCACTCCAGCCTGGGCAATAAGAGCAAAACTTCTCAAAAAAAAAAAAAGACTTATACTTCTAATCAGACCACCTGCTCAATTTGTGACTCAGGAAATAACTAACCTTATGTATGCTATAACCCCAAGTTTTCACCTGGTGAATAATTTTACCTCTCCTTGTTAAGAACATTCAGTCAACTATAGAAGCAATTGTAACCAGGCAGACTACCACTCAGCTAACAGCTCTATATAAATATCAGCCTGTGCCTAAAGAAGAAAACCTGCTTTCGTGAAGAATCAAGTAATAGTGGTGGTTTCTATTAAAATCTTATTTATAAAAAGCAGCAAATGGAGAAAACTGAGGCAGAAATTTAAAAAATCAAACTGCATTCATTCACTCCAAGAAAACTAACAGGCAAGGCAAGGGTTAAAAAGAACAGAACAAGTTTTCCTCTGCCTAGCAAGCTCACTTCAAAGACCGTTTGGTCTGGGCAGGAGCAGTGGCTCACGCCTGTAATCCCAGCACTTTGGGAGGCCAAGGTGGGTGGATCACGAGGTCAGGAGATCGAGATCATCCTGGCTAACACAGTGAAACCCCATCTCTACAAAAAATACAAAAAAAAAAAAAAAAAAAAGCCATGCGTGGTAGTGTGGGGAAAAGAAAGAGAATCAGCCTCTTACTGTGTCTATATAGAAAGAAGTAGACATAAGAGACTCCATTTGGTTCTGTATTTGAGATGCTGTTAATCTGTGACCTACCCCAAACCTTGTCCTTGCAAGAGACATGTGCTGTGGTGACTCAAGGTTTAATGGATTTTGGGCTGTGCAGGATGTGTCTTTGTTAAACAAGTGCCTGAAGGCAGCTTGCTGGTTAAAAATCCTGCCCCTCCCTGGGCAATGGAACATCTCGGTGTGAGACCCAATTGTATGCTCTGTTTACTGAGATAGGAGAAAACCGCCTTACAGCATAAGGTGGGACTTGCTGGAGCAATGCTGCTAAAAGGTTTATGGAGATGTTTGCATATGCGTATCAAGGCACAGCATTTTCCTTTGAACTTGTTCATGTCACAGAGATCTTTATCCATATGTCTTACTGCTAATTTTCTCCCTAAAATGATCCTATTGTCCTGCTACTCCCTTATCTTTAAGATGGTAAAGATAACTATAAATAAATACTAAGGGAACTCAGAGACCAGTGCCAGCATGGGTCCTCTGTATGCTGAGCGCCAGTCCCCTGGGCCCACTTTTTCTTTCTCTATACTTTGTCTCTGTGTCTCATTTCTTTTCTCAAGTCTCTCGTTCTACCTAACGAGAAACGCCCACAGGTGTGGAAGGGCAGGCCACCCCTTCATGGTAGCGGGCACCTGTAGTCCCAGCTACTCAGGAGGCTAAGGCAGGAGAATGGCATGAACCCAGGAGGTGGAGCTTGCAGTGAGCCGAGATCACGCCACTGCACTCCAGCCTGGGTGACAGAGTGAGACTTCGCCTCAAAAAAATAATAATAATAATTAATAAACAAAATAGATAACGCTGTTTGCAAAGTCGAACACCCCCACTTGAGAACAAGAGTGAAGAAAAAAAAAAAAGTCTGTATTTAGCTGTTCTTGTTTTTCTTTCATTGCTGCTACAAGACCACCAGCTATGCAAGGTCACAAGTTATGCTATGGTATAGATTAGGTGACCGATCATTACATGATTAACTGCTTTTATTTTGCTTCTGTAAGTCTGCTTATAAAAAGCCCACTCTGTCTTTGTTGAAATGCTCAGCTTTTTAGATGCAAATCCACTGAGCCAGTGCCTACCTTGAACAAACATCCTCTGTCTCCCGCATATCCGTCTCTTTAGTCCTCAGTTTCCCGCAATACCATCTCTGTGCCTCCTTTGCTCTCCCTCTTAAATTTTCTCTTCCCTGTTATACCCCCCTTTATCCGCTCTCTGGAACCCCAGATCCCCAGGTGTCCTCCCTGCTGTGGTTCTCCCTCTGTTCTCCTTGCCACCAGCACCACTCTGCTCTGTCTGCCCTGGCTCCAAATCCCTTCTCCTCTCCCTCACTCTGACGAGCCTCCCTCTTTGCTGTTCCTCTCCCTACCTTGCTGTCTGTCCTTCATCTCTGTACATCTGGCTTTTCTCTACATTTCTCCAGTTGCTTTTCTCCTCCTGCTTTTTTCCCCCCACATCTGCTGTCTCTTGGCAAATCCCTCACCCATCCTCTACTTTGCCATCTGTTATGAGCCTTTCTTATTCTTTTTTCTGTCTCAGGTTTTCTACTGCTCTACGTCTGTCTCCTGATCCCTTTGGCCCACACACTCATCGGAGGCTTTGGACTAAGACACAGGAAGGTTTGGAGTAAAACACCTGCATCCCGGGGGAGCGCATTTTCCAGGGGCTGGAGATGGGCAGGCAAGAACAACCCACGTCACAGGACAGGCCCCGGGCATCTCCCCAACGCCAGTTCAGGGAAAGCGATGACTGCGGAGAGGAACCTGGGGAGCAGCAGGGCCCGCACGAGGAGGGAGGTGACGGGGCAATGGCGCCTTAAGACAAGGGTAGGGTCTGCAGGATCCCAGGACCAGGCATAAGACGCGGCCTCCTCCGGACTGGGAGGGCGGCGCTGCACTCCAGGGGCGGATGAGGTCGAGACTGGGAGGCGCCCAGGGCGGGAATTCACCTCTCATAGGAGGACTTTAAAAAGCGCGGGCCGGGAGGAGTCAGAAAAAGTTTCGGAACAGGAAAACTACATGATAGAAAATGTATACATTGCCCTACAGCAGAAAGACCCAGGACGGGAGGAGCCTCAGGGCGACCTTAAACCCAAAAGGAAGCGACCCCCGGACTCTCACCTGGTCGTTTCAATTTGCTCTGGGTGAAGGAAGACGGCTGAGAAATTCCAGGTTTGTGGGGACCCCACGACCCAAGTACAGAAGCGCCAGGGACCTGGGAAGCGCAGACTTAACACAACACAGAGCGAAACTCACGCGCCGCTATGGGACCGTCACTCCACGAGGTCCGCTTCCGGGTTTGCGCGAAGCTGCGCGCGCAGGAAATAAGCCAGGGCTGGGCGGGACCTGCGAGGAGATGGGCGGGGCCTGGGCGAGGTACGGGCGGGGCGCGAAGCAGAGAGACTTTACCCTTTAGAATAGAGGGAGGGAGGAGCCGCGGCGGGACCTGTGCATCTCAGCCTGGCTCCCAGGGCCTCTGTTTTCGGCTTTTGGAGGCGAGACCAGCTAAGAAGACTGAGGCATGATTCAAAAGCCCTGGAATTGTCTGGAACGTGGATGCAAACTAGAATGCGAAATGCACGACCCTGCCTGGCGGAAGGTGCGATTTCATGCTGACGGCCCACAAAACAGAATAGAAATCCTCTCCCTTTCTATTGCCATTCACTTGGGAAGGAGGGTCCATCCTGTGCTCAGCTTCAGAGACTTCCCTAAAGCCACCACCTGGGATGCGGGACGGAGTGTTCAGGCCGAGAAGGAGTGAGGTCACTTCACCACCTGCTAGATAAACACAGCAGGGATGCTGGCGCGGGGGCGGGAGCCTGAGGACCCAGCTACTCAGAAAGTAGCAGCGGGAGGATCGCTGAGCCTGGGGTCCAGGCCAGCCTGGGCGACAAAGTAACACCCGCTCCCGCAGGGCTCCCTTCCTCCTCTCTCTCTCTTCCCTTTTTTTTCCTTTTTTTTTTTTTTTTAACGTTTTAAAATAAAATTTTGATTGCGTGAGATAGGGATCCAACATTATTCTCTTCCATGTGGATATGCAGTTAGTTGTCTCAGCACATTTGTGGAAGAGATTTATTAGTTTATTTATTTACTTATTTCTTTTGTTTTGAGGCAGAGTAGTTTTCTGTTGCCCAGGCTAGAGGGCAGTGACGGGATCTGGGCTCACTGCAGCCTCTGCCTCCTGGGTTTCAGCTATTCCCCTGCCTCAGCTAGCGGAGTACCTGCCATTACAGGCCCGTGCCACCATGCCCTGTTAATTTTTGTATTTTTGTAGACGGGTTTCACCATGTTGGCCAGCCTGGTCTCAAACTCTTGACTTCAAGTGAGCCGCCTGCCTCGGCCTCCCAAAGTGCTGGGATTACAGGCGGGAGCCACTGTGCCTGGCCCAACAAATACTTTTTACTTCACTTTCTAATTGTTGAGAAAATATAATTGAAAACAAAACAAAAAAGTCTTCCCCCAAATGACGAAACACCTATAGATGTATAGAGATAATAGATAAAGAAATAAAACCGTTTTATTAATGCATAAGCCTTAGACCAGAATGTGATGGGAAATAGAGGCAAACAGCTAAGAGGTCGAAAAGAGAGAAAGAAACTTCACTGTTCTATACAACCCGTTAAGTACATGTTTTCAAGATAAACGCTAATCAGTCCTCCGGGAAGAGGACTTGACAACACCTTTGGTCACACATAGTTCATCCTGGCTCTACTTGGTAATGGAGGTGACCATCTGTGTCAGCTAAGTAGCTTCATCCCGAGCGAGGGAGGGGGAGAAACCGCAACCCATGTCTTTTTGACAAGTGTGAGTTTTACAACATGGCGACAGGTGCCCTCTCTAGTGAGGCTCCTACAATGCGACAGAAATTGATGTCAGCAGTAAATAATAAAGTTTCAAATATATGATTAAATACAGAATTTACTTAAATGCAAAGCTTGGAAATCCGCCTGCCTTGGCCTCTCAAAGTGCTGAGATTGGAGGCTTCAGTCACTGCGCCAGGCCCTCATTCGTCTTTTCTGTCTCAGATTGGGTTTTTCTTTTCTTTTTCATTTTTCCTTTTCCTTTTTTTTTTTTTTTTTTTCTTTGGAGACAGGGTCTTGGTCCCTCATCCAGGCGCGAGTGCAGTGACAGGAGCACGGCTCACTTCACCCTCAACCTCCTGGGCTCAGGCAATCCTCCCACCTCAGCCTCCCAAGTAGCTGGGACCATAGATGTGTGCCACCACACCTGGGTAACTTCTAAAAAAAAAAACTTTTTGTAAGGATGAGTGCCGAGACTAGCTCGGTTGCGGAGACCCTAACCCAGCGACACTAGAGGAATTAAAGACACACACACACACACACACACACAGAGAAATATAGCGTGTGGAGTGGGAAATCAGGGGTCTCAGTCTTCAGAGCTGAGAGCCTCTAATAGAGTTTGACCCACACATTTATTGACAGAAAGCCGGTGATAAGCATTGCTTCTATAGATTATACATTAGCTAAAAGCATTCTTTGTGGGAAACAAAGCATTCTCAGCGAGGAGCAGAGAAACAGGCTCTGACTGATTATCTGCAGCAAAAACATGCTGTGAAGGCCCAGGCCGCTCCTGCTATGGTCTGTGGTTTGAGCAGTTTTTTGCTCCGGGCGGGGCCAGGTGTTCCTTGCTCTGCTCCAGCAAACCCACGACTTTTAGCAGTATGCGTGACAGTCATCATGAGCATGTCACATTGCTGCAGAAATCCTGTTTATGGCCAGTTTCTTTAAGGCCTGTTTATGATAGGCTTAGGGCTTGCTACCAACAGATGAGGTTTCGCCATGTTGCCCAGGCTGGTCTCAAACTCCTGGGCTCAAACGACCCTACCGCCTGTCTCCCAAAGTCCTAGGATTCCAGACGTGAGCCACCACACCAAGCAGAACTGTCTCAGTTTCTCTGCTCCTTTCTCAGTCGCTCACTCGCTCTTTCGCCTGATCTCCTTGGCCCACATACTCACTGGAAGGGGATGGAGTAAGATGGCTGCCTCCGCCTAGAGCATGTATTCCAGGGGTTGAACTGGGGAGCAGCAGGGCACGGCATGAGGAGGAGGGAGGTGGGGGGCAAGGCGCCCTAGGGCAGGGGTGGGGTCTGCAGGTTCCCAGGACCAGGCAGGGGACGTGGCCTCCCCGGGACTGGGGCTGTGGGGCTGCACTCCAGGGACCAGCGAGGGAGAGGCTGGGAGGCACTAAGGGCGGGAATCCACCTCTGGGGTGAGGACTTTAAAAAGTGCACGCGGGAGGAGGGGTCAGGAAATGGTTTTGAGCAGGAACTACCTGATAGAAGGCATCTACACGGCCCTATGGCCGAAAGACCCGGGACGGGACCAGCCTCAGACCGACCTTAAACCCAAAAGGAGGCCAGGTGCGGTGGCTTAGCCTCAGTCCCAGCACTTTGGGAGGCCTAGGCGGACAGATCAAGAGGTCAGGAGTGTCACGCGAGTCCGCGTGAAGAGACCACCAAACAGGCTTTGTGTGAGCAATAAAGCTTTTTAATCACCTGGGTTCAGGCTGACTGAGTCTGAAAAAGGAGTCAGCAAAGGAAGCTAGGGGTAGGGCAGTCTTGTAAGATTCCAGGAGAAGGAATGTCACAAGGTAATGTCATCACTTAAGGCAGGAACTGGCTGTTTTCACGTCTTTTGTGGCTCTTCAGTTGCTTCAGGCCATCTGGATGTATACATGCAGGTCGCAGGTGATATGATGGCTTAGCTTGGGCTCAGAGGTCTGACAAGGAGTTCAAGACCTGCCTGGCCAAGATGGTGAAACCCTGTCTATACCAAAAGCTACAAAAATTATCTGGGCACGGTGGCAGGTGCCTGTAATCCTGGCTACTCAGGAGGCTAAGGCAGGAGAATCGCTTGAACCCGGGCAGCAGAGGTCATAGGGAGCCGAGATCGCGCCGACAGAGGTCATAGTGAGCCGAGATCGGGCCACTGCACTCTAGCCTGGGCGACAGAGTGAGACCCTTTCTCAACAAACAAGAAAACCCAAAAGGAAGCGACCCGCAGACTCTCACAGGGAAGTCTCTATATGCTCTATGTGGAGGAAGGGGGGCGGGAATTTCCAGGTCTCTGGGGACCCTACCTCCCAAGTATAGCAGAGCCGGGGGCCTGCGAAGGACCGACTTAACTAGAGACAGAGCGAAACTCAGGCGCTGCAGTGTGACCTTCACTGAGGCGACCCGCTTCCATGTCTGTGCGAATCTCCGCAGGACAGAAGCCAGGCCTGGGAGGAACCCCGATAAGGTGGGCGGGGCCCGGGCGAGGCAGGGCGGGGCGCGAAGGGCAAGGGGCGTGGCACGGAAGTGGATGAGTGGCCTGCCGGGCAGGGATCCCGGGGGCGGGGCGGGGCCTACAATTCGCTCCGCCTCCCTCCGCAGCCTGTGTTTTCCAGGTTTTGGAGGCGAGACCCGCCTTGAATGCTGAAGCATAATTCAAAAGCCTTGGAATTGTGTGAAACAGGGATGCAAACTAGAATGTAAAATGCAAAGCTCTGCTTCGGTGGAAAGAGCAATTTTACGCTGACGGCCCACAGAACAGAGTAGAAATCCACTCCCTTTCTATTCCTCATTCACTCGGGAGGGACAGTCCACCCTGTGCTTAGCTCCAGACTTCCCTAGGGCCACTGCCTGGGATGCGGGATGGAGTGCGCAGGCCAGGGATGAGTGAGGTCACCATCTGCTGCTTAAACACAACAGGGATGCGGGCGTGGGGGCGGGAGCCTGGGGTCCCAGTCACTCAGGAAACAGCGGTGTAAGGATCGCTGAACCCGGGGTCCAGGCCAACATGGGCAGCAAAATAAGACCCCCTCCCACAGGGCTCCCTTCCTGGTCTCAATTGAAAAAAAAGCGGAGAGGGGCGGATTAAGAAAAGCACTAACTTTAAAACAGTGGATATAAATAAACCGGGTGTCCCTTACATGTGTAATTTTATGCCACACTATAAATGAGTTATTCTCAAATACTTTTTTTAGCCTTTCCTGATATATAATCAAATACTTCTAAGATAAACTTTGTTGACAACATAATATGTTAATGTTCCAGAACAGAGAAATATGTTACAGGAAAGGGTCTGGATCCAGATCGCAAGAGAAGGTTCTTTGATCTCGCACAAGAAAGAATTCAGGGCGCGTACACAGTGCAAAGTGAAAGCAAGTTTATTAAGAAAGTAAAAAAATTAAAGAATGGCTACTCCATAGACAGAGGGGCCCCGAGGGCTGCTAGCTGCGCATTTTTATGGTTATTTCTTCAAGTCTGCTAAACAAGGGGTGGATTACTCATGCTTCCCCTTTTTAGACCTTGTAGGGTAGCTTCCTGATGTTGCCATGGCATTTGTAAACTGTAATGGAGCTGGTGGGAGTGTAGCAGTTAGGACGACCAGAGGTCACTCTCCTAGCCATTTTGATTTTGGTAGGTTTAGGCTGAGGTAGGGTAATTGCTTGAACCCGGGAAGCAAAAGTTGCAGTGAGGTGAGATAGCGCCATTTCACTTCAGCCTGGGCGACCAGAGAAACTTCATCTCAAAAAAAAAAAAAAAAGAGGCTGGAGGCAGTGACTCATGCCTATAATCCCAGCACTTTGGGAGGCCGAGGTGGGCGGATCACTTTCTTGAGGTCTGGAGTTGGAGACCAACCTGACCAACATGGCAAATCCCGTCTCTTCTAGAAATACAGAAATTAGTTGGGCGTGGTGGCGCCTGGAGTAGTGCCAGCTACTCAGGACGCTGAGGCAGGAGATTCACTTGAACCCGGGAGGTGGAGGTTGCAGTGAGCTGACATTAGGCCACCACACTCCAGCCTGGGATACAGAGGGAGACTCCACCTCAAAAAAAAAAAAAAAAAAAAAAAAAAAAAAAAAAAAAAAAAATTTTAAATTGGAATTACTTGATTTTTTTCTTTTTTGAGACGGAGTTTCACTCTTGTTGCCCAGGCTGGAGTGCAGTGGCGCAATCTCCGCTCACTGCAACCTCCATTGAATCTCTTAGAGATGGGGTTTTACCATGTTGGTGACACTCGTCTCGAACTCCTGACTTCAGGTGATCCACCTGCCTCACCCTCCCAGAGTGAGTGAGGCACCACACCCAGCCTGATTTTGAATGACTTAATTTACTACTGAGACAGAGGTACTATCTTTTTTGTTGTTTGCATTTCAAAGACAGAACTCCCAAGTCCTTTAGAAAGATACCCCTGGATCACCACTAAGATGAAAGCAACTTTTATTGTTTCTAAAAAATACCACTTCTGAAGACAGAGAAAGTACATTTACAAATTTTCTAAATAAATGTCCTGAGAAAAGACACAAAAGGAAGGAAAATCTTTTCCTTTATTCTCAAAGGAGGAATTACGCCTCTCATTTGCTTGAGACAGGGTCTAGCTCTGTCACCCAGGCTGGAGTGCAGTGGGGAGATCAGGCTCACTTCAGCCTCAAAATCCCTCGTTCAAGTGATCCTCCCACTTCGGCGCCCAGAGTAGCTAGGACCACAGGGGTGCACCACCACATCTGGCTGACTTTTTTTACTTTCAGCAGAGAGGAGGTCCCCCTATGTTGCCCAGGCTGGTCTTGAACCACCTGCCTTGGCCTCTAAAACCGCTGGGATTATAGGCCTGAGCCACTGCGTCTGGTCTTATTGTAAATTTGATGTTTCTTCTTAATTTTAATAGAATTTGTATTGCTCTGATAGAGGTTCTTTTCAAACTCACATCTTATCCTTCTGAGTGCCTCAAACTAGAGCCTGTTCAGACATGTTGTAACAAGTTTATATCAGTTCATTTTGGTGCAAAAAGTGTGAAATTCACGCACAAATTTTTCATATGTATTTTTCCATGAACTTCTTGAAGACCCTTATACTAGCAAACTGTATTCAAGAGGATATAAGAAGGGATTGTAAATATTCAAGTGCTACTTATTAATGGGATGCAAGGATGGTTCAACATATTCAAATCAATGGGATACACACTTGCACAGAATGACAGATAAAAAGCATTTCACAAAATTCAATATTCATTCTTTGTAAAAATCCTAAACAATATAGGTAGAGTTTTACCTAAAAAATGTAAAGACCAGCCATGAAATGACCACAGCTGAAATAACCAATAAAGGAAAATGGAATGCTTTTCCTGTAGGATCTCACATGATGCAAGAATGCTCTCATCCCTTATATTCAATAAATACTGGCTGTCCTAGACAGAGCAAACGAAATAAAACTCATCCAAATTAGAAAGAAAGAAGTAAAATTATATTTGTTGGGGCCGGGCTCATGGCTCACACCTGTAATCTCTGCAATTTGGGAGTTCGAGGCAGGCGGATAATGAAGTTAGGAGATCTAACATAGGAGATTCTCTTCAAGTTCTCTTCAAGGTTCTCACCATATTGGCCCACCATCTGGGCCAACATGGTGAAACCCCGTCTCTACTAAAATAAAAAAATAAATAAATTAGCCAGGTGTGGTGACATTTGCCTGCAGTCCCAGCTACTCAGGACGCTGAGACAGAAGAATTGCTTGGATGCGGGAGGCAGAGGTTGCAGTGAGTAAAGATCATGCCACAGCACTCTAGCCTGGTGACAGAGTGAGACACTGTCTCAAAAAAAAAAAAAAAAAAAAATTATTTCTTTGTAGGTGATATGATATTCTATATAGAAAATCACTGGCTGGGTGCAGTGGCTCACACCTGTAATACCAGCACTTTGGGAAGCTGAGGGGGGTAGATCACCTGAAGTCTCAGTAGTTCAAGACAAACCAGGTCAACATGGTGAAACCCTGTCTCTACTAAAAATACAAAAAAATTATGCTGGCATGGTGGCAGGCACCTGTAATCTCAGTTAGTCGGTAGGCTGAGGCAGGAGAATCACTTAAACCTGAAAGGTGGAGGTTGCAGTGAGCCAAGATCTGCACTCCAGTCCGGGTGACAAAAGCGACACTCCCTCTCAAAAAAAAAAAAAAAAAAATGCTGGGCACGGTGGCTCATGACTGTAATCTCAGCAATTTGGGAGGCCAAGGAGGGTGGATCATGAGGTCAGGAGACTGAGACCATCCTTGCCAACATGGGGAAACCGCATCTCTACTAAAAATACAAAAATTAGCCAGGCATGGTGGCATGGGCCTGTAGTCCCAGCTACTCAGGAGGTTGAGGTAGGAGATTCACTTGACTCAGGGAGGCGGCGATTGCAGTGAGCCAAGATCACGCCAACGCACTCCAGCCTGGGCAACAGAGCAAGACTGTCTCAAAAAAAAAAAAAAGAAAGAAAATCACAAAGAATCAACCAAGATTTTACTGATACTAATAAACCCATTCAGTGTATTTGCAGAATACAAAAAATCATCACCCAAAATTAGTTGAATTTCCTTACATTAACAATAAATAATGTTAAAAGAAACTTATGAACACACTTCAATTTGCTATGAAACTTAAAGTAAGAAATACTTACAAATAAATTGAATTAAGGTGAGAAGCTTGTACCTTGAAATCTACAATGATCAAAAAAACTAAATAGACATATAACCCATATTGATGGATTGGAAGTATTAATATTGTTAAATGATTATTCAAACAAATGTGATTGAGATTCAACACATACCCACAAAAATCCCCATCAGTTTTTCTTAAAGAAACAAACAACAGGCTGGGAAAAGTGACTCACATCTGTTGGCCAGTCTGGTCTCAAACTGCTGACCTCAAGTGATCTATCTGCCTTGGCCTCCCAAAGTGCTGGGATTACAGGTGTGAGCCACCCTGCCTGGCCCAATCTTCTAAACATAAACACTTTAATGTCAATTAATGCTTGAACTCAATGTTAAGTCAACTCAAACTCAAGTCAGTGCTGAATTGACTCTAATGCCAATTAATGCATGATGGTTTGCTATACTCATTGCATTTGGAACAATCATCTCAAAAATGAATTTTCTGATGTTCCTCAAGGAGTGACCTCGAACTGAAGACCTTGCCACACTTATGACATTTGTAAGATTTCTGTCCCATATGGATTCTCTGGTGTCTAATGAGGTGTGAACGTGAAGTAAAGGCTTTGCCACAATCATCACACTTGTGAGGTTTCTCTCCTGTATGAATTCTTCTGTTTTGCATAAGATGAAGCTTGACTGAAGACCTTGCCACAATCATGACATTTGTAAGGTTTCTCCACTGTATGAGTTTGCCGATGAACTGCAAGGTATGAACAATGTCTGAAAAATCTGCCACATTTATCACTTTTAAAATCTCTCATTATGGATTCTCCAATGATTTGCAATGGTTGTAGTGTTACTGAAGACTTTGTGACAATCATTACATTAGTAAAGTTTCCCTACACCATGGATTTCCTGATGGTAAGTGTTGACTACCCACCAAAAGCTTTGCCACACTCATTACACTTGTACGGTTTCTCTCTCTCCAGTGTGAATTCTAGTATGTTGTGTCAGGTGTGAATCACGCCCAAAATCCTTGTCACAAACTCTTACATTTGTAAGCTTTCTCTCCAGTATGAATTCTCCTGTCTTTTGAGACTTGATTTGCAACTGTAAACTTTGTCACATGCTTCACATTTCTAATGCTTCTCTCCAGTATGAATTCTATGATGACGTGCAAGCTTTGCTTTTCGATTAAAAACCTTGCCACATTCATTACACTTGTAAGGTTTCTCTCCAGTATGAATTGTCTTATGAATTACAAGGACTGAATTGTGACGGAAGGTTTTACCACATTCATTACACTTGTAAGGTTTCTCTCCAGTATGAATTCTATGATGACATGCAAGGTGTGCTTGTTGATTAAAAACCTTACCACATTTATTACACTTGTAAGGTTTCTCTCCAGTATGAAGTCTATGATGACGTGCAAGGTTTGCTTTTCGATTAAAAACCTTGCCACATTCACCACACTTGTAAGGTTTTTCTCCAGTGTGAATTGCCTTATGAATTTCAAGGGCTGAATTGTGACGGAAAGTCTTACCACATTCATTACACTTGTAAGGTTTCTCTCCACTATGAATTGCCTTATGAATTACAAGGGCTGAATTGTGACGGAAGGTCTTGCCACATTCATTACACTTGTAAGGTTTCTCTCCAGTGTGAATTCTAGTATGTTGTGCCAGGTGTGAATCACGCCCAAAAGCTTTGTCACAAACCTTACATTTGTATGGTTTCTCTCCAGTATGAATCCTCCTGTGTTTTTCAAGGCTTGATTTGCGACTGAAAACTTTGTCACATTCTTCACATTTGTAAGGTTTCTCTCCAGTGTGAAGTCTACGATGGCAGGTAAGGGATGACTTCTGACTGAAGGACTTGCCACACTCATTACACTTGTAAGGTTTCTCTCCAGTATGAATTGCCTTATGAATTACAAGGGCTGAAGTTCGACCGAAGGTCTTGCCACACTCATTACACTTGTAAGGTTTCTCTCCAGTATGGAGTCTACGATGGCATGTAAGGTATGACTTCCGACTAAAGGTCTTACCACATTCATTACACCTGTAAGGTTTCTCTCCAGTATGAATTCTCCTATGTCTTTGAAGGTTTGATTTGAAACTAAAAGCTTCGTCACATTCTTCACATTTGTAAGGTTTCTCTCCACTATGAGTTCGCCAATGAACTGCAAGGTATGAACGATGTCTGAAAAATTTGCCACATCTATTACACTTGTAAGATCTCTCTTCATTATGGATTCTCCAATGATTTGCAATAGTTGTAGCATTACTAAAGACCTGGTGACAATCATTACATTTGTAAAGTTTCCCTATACCATGGATTGCTTGATGGTAAATAAGTGCTGACTGCCCACGAAAGGCTTTGCCACACTCATTACATTTGTAAGGTTTTTCTCCAGTATGAAGTCTACGATGGCGTGTAAGGGATGACTTCCGACTAAAGGTCTTGCCGCATTCATTACACTTGTAAAGTTTCTCTCCGGTATGAATTATCCTATGTCTTTCAAGGTTTGATTTGAAACTGAAAGCTTCATCACATTCTGTTTCTCTCCGTATGAATTATCCTATGCTTTTCAAGGTTTGATTTGAAACTGAAAGCTTCTACCACATTCTTCACACTTGTAAGGCTTTCCAGTATGAAGTCTACGGCGGCATATGGATGACGCCTGACTGAAGGTCTTGCCACAATCATTACACTTGTAAGGTTTCTCTCCAGTATGAATTCTCTTATGTCTTTCAAGGTTTGATTTGAAACTGAAAGCTTCATCACATTCTTCACATTTGTAAGGTTTCTCTCCAGTATGAAGTCTACGGTGGTATACAAGGGATGACATCTGACTGAAGGTCTTGCCACACTCATTACACTTGTAAGGTTTCTCTCCAGTATGAAGCCTACGATGGCGTGTAAGGGATGACTGCCGACTAAAGGTCCTGCTGCATTCATTACACTTGTACGGCTTCTCTCCAGTATGAATTTTCCTATGTCTTTCAAGGTTTGATTTGAAACTGAAAGCTTTGTCACATTCTTCACATTTGTAAGGTTTCTCTCCAGTATGAAGTCTACGATGGTATACAAGGTATGACGTTTGACTGAAGGTCTTGCCACATTCATTACATCTGTAAGATTTCTCTCCAGTATGAACTGCCTTATGAATTACAAGGGCTGAATTTCGACTGAAGGTCTTGCCACACTCACTGCACTTGTAATGTTTCTCTCCAGTGTGAAGTCTACGATGGCATGTAAGGGTTAATTCCTGACTGAAGGTCTTGCCACAATCATTACACTTGTAAGGTTTCTCACCAGTGTGACATCTACGATGACATGCAAGGTATCGCTTTTGATTAAAGACCTTGCCACACACATCACATTTATACTGTTTCGCTCCTAAAGGGATTATCTGATGTTTCCTTAAGAGTGAGCTACAATTAAAGGCTTTGCCACTCTCATTACATGGGAAAGATTTTTCTCTCATGTGTACTTCCTGCTTTTGTGTGAGTAATGAAGAATTCAGGAAATTATTCCCACAGTTATTAGATATATGGGTTTTGGGCCTACAAGAAATTCTTTGGGCTGTTGAAAATGAGGAAGCATCGTTGATAGACTTCTCAATTCTTTGGGATGTTGAAACCGAGGAATCATCGTTGATAGACTTCTCAACTTGATTACCAATCTTCCCTTCGGGCTGAAATATATGCAGTTCAGGCAGATGTGAATGAAAGCTTAATCCAAGCTGATCTTTAATAGGTTTTTTTCCAGCATGCGTTTGATCCTGTCGGTTTGTACTACTCGTCAACTCTTTGATTTTTGTCATGAGTGCTTCATGGCTATTTCTTTCATCTTCTTTCCACTGAAACTCAAAATCATGAATATCTTTCTCCATTTCCTGGAAGCAAATATCTCCAATGTGATGACGTTCATGTCTTTGCATTGTCCCTCTGTGGATCACCTCTGTATTGCCTTGTGCTGTTGATGAGAACTCCTTCATCATGCATTTGGAAGAGATATCTACAAAATATAAACACCAATAGGTTTCCACTTAAATACAGATGGTATATAATACTGAAATGTGTAAATAGGACACAAAAAGCAATACTTATTTTAAACTTCCCAAACATTATCTTGAAAGTTTAGGAACACAAAAGGGTAAGATTCTTCAATAAATAAAGGGCGATTACATGTGCTTGAAATCATTTCTACAGAAGTCAATATCATGTCAAAACGCTGACAGGGCACAAACGTGTATAAGCCTAAAGTAAGGAGTATTTTTCCACTGTGACCCTAAACTGTATAAGAGTTTGCAAAAAACATATCACTGTCACATCAATGAAGAGAAAAGCATATATTCTTCATATTTACAGCATATTTACTATATACAAATAAATGCTCAAGGACCACACAATATACTATATTGGAAAATAACCCACAACAAGCTCATGTAAGGATAACCAAAATCAATGAAAATTCTGTATTGTCAAATAGTCATAGCACTGAGAAGATAACATTACAAAATTAAGCCAGGCGTGGTGGCCCATGCCTGTAGTCCCAGTTACTCAGGAGGCTGAGGCACAAGAATTGCTTGAGTCCAAGAGGCAGAGGTTGCAGTGAGCTGAGATCGCACCACTGTGCTTCAGCCTGGGTGACAAGGTGAGAGTCTACCTCAAAAAAAAAAAAAAAAAAAAAAAGCTAATACAATATTTTCCTGAACAACTGTTATAAAATTACTTCTATTCATGCAGAAAAGGCAAGTTGTGACATTTTATTTTTATTTATTTATTTTTTTTGAGATGGAGTCTGGCTCTGTCGCCCAGGCTGGAGTGCAGTGGCCGGATCTCAGCTCACTGCAAGCTCCGCCTCCCGGGTTTACGCCATTCTCCTGCCTCAGCCTCCCGAGTAGCTGGGACTACAGGCGCCCGCCACCTCGCCCGGCTAGTTTTTTTGTATTTTTTAGTAGAGACGGGGTTTCACCGTGTTCGCCAGGATGGTCTCGATCTCCTGACCTCGTGATCCGCCCGTCTCGGCCTCCCAAAGTGCTGGGATTACAGGCTTGAGCCACCACGCCCGACCAACATTTTAAAAAAATTGTTTGTATTTTTATATTTTTGAGATGAAGTCTCACTCTGTCACAACAGGCTGGAGTGCAATGGCCCAATCTCGTCTCACTGCAACCTCTGCCTACTGGGCTCAAGCCATTCTCCTGCCTCAGCCTCCTGAGTACCTGGGATTAAAGGCATGCGCCACCATGCTTGGCCAATTATTGTATTTTTAGTAGAGATGGGGTTTCACCATGTTGGACAGGCTGGCCTCGAACTTTTCACTCAAGCAATTCACCCACCTGAGCCTCCCAAACTCCTTTACGGGCGTGAGCCACAGCGCCAGGCGGCACTTTGTGACACTAACGAGTGGAGTGTGTCAGTTATATTGCATACCACATACCAAAAAGCCTTATGTACAGTCATAAAAATTAATTAGTAAAGTAACGTAACACATAAAATCAGCAAGCAAATAATAAGTACATTTATACAGCCTGCAGAATTCTAAACAATTCTCTGTTAAGAAAAAAACCACGGCCAGGTTCACACCTGTAATCCCAACACTTCGGGAGGCTGAGGCAGGCAGATCATGAGGTCAGGAAATCAAGACCATCCTAGCTAACAATGTGAAACCCCATCTCTACTAAAAATACAAAAAAAAAAAAAAAAAAAATTAGCCCAGTGTGGTGGCGGGTGCCAGTAGTCCCAGCTACTCGGGAGGCTGAGGCAGGAGAATGGCGTCAATCCAGGAGGTGGAACTTGCAGTGAGCCGAGATCGCGCCACTCTGTCCCAAAACAAAAACAAAACAAAACAAAACAAACAAACGAAAGAAAGCCACAATTTCTACTTACCAGCAGCATACAATATAAGAACTGAAATACATGTTAAGATCACTACCTTTTAATGTATGAGATCAAAAAAATACACAGCATTATAAGGAATAAGAAGTGACTACTGGCTGGGCACTGTGGCTCTTGCCTGTAATCCCAGCACTTCGGGAGGCCAAGGCAGGTGGATCACGAGGTCAGGAGTTCAAGAGCAGCCTAGCCAACATGGTGAAACCCTAACTCTACTAAAAATTCAAAAAAATTAGCTGGGCATGGTGGCGGGAGCCTGTAATCCCAGCTACTCAGGAGGCTGAGGCAGGAGAATCGTTTGAACCCAGGAGGCAGAGGTTGCAGTGAGATGAGATTGCACCACTGCACTCCAGCCTGGGTGAGAGGGTGAGACTTAATCTCAAAAAAAAAAAAAAAAAAAGAATTGACTAACAATGTCAGAAGGTGCAACAATGATATCACAACTACATTTATGAAACAGCCAAGCAATACAGCAATTCTATATACATGCATTGACCTTAGTTATCTCGTTCACTATGCACAAAATATAAAACATAGAATACGTACTGGGAAAATTTATAAACTGGGATCAGAGAAAACATTGTATAAAACAAATTGCACAATAAAACCATAAACAATATGATGCAGGCTCCCTGGTCTGAATGTTCTTATTGAACAAAAGCCACATTCAGAGTTCTTATTCTCCAATAGGATGTTCCTGCAGATGGGGCCTTTGAGAGAATTTGGTCATGGGTGTTGACTACTCATGAATAGGACTCGTGCTTTTATAAAAAGAGATATTAAAGAGCTCATTCCCTGTTCCTCTTTCCACTATGTCAGGACACAGCAGGAAGGTGGCTGGACTAAACCACGAAGAAGGCCGTCACCAGGAACCAATTTGGCTGGCATCTTGCTCTTGGATTTCCCACTTTCCAAACTCATGAGAAATAAATGTCTATGCCGTAAACCTCCCAGTTTAAGCTATTTCCTTTTTTGTTTGTTTTTGAGACCAAGTCACACTCTATCACCCAGGCTGGAGTGTAGTGGCATGATTCTCCTGCCTGAAGAGATTCTCCCACCTCAGCCCGGAGTCTCACTGTGTCACCCGGGCTGGCGTGCAGCGGCACAATGTCAGCTCACTGCAACCTCCACTTCCCGGGTTCAAGTGATTCTCCTGCCTCAGCCTTCCGAGTACTTGGGATAACAGGTGTCCGCCACCATGCCCAGAAAATGTTTGTATTTTTAGTGGAGACGGGGTTTCACCATGTTGGCCAGGCTGGTCTCAAACTCCTGAACTCAGGTGATCCACCCATCTCAGCATCCCAAAGAGCTGGGATTACAGGCGTGAGTCACCCCACTTTGTATTTAGTAGAGTTGATGTTTCACCATGTTGGTCAGACTGGTCTCAAACTCCTGACTTCAAGCGATCCACTCACCTAGGCCTCCCAAACTGCTGGGAGTAGAGGCGTGAGCCACCTCAGCTGGCCAGTCTAAGCTATTTCTGAGAAGACACTGAAATGACTGAGACAAGAAAAGGAGAATCTCATCATCAACATCACCGAAGACTGGCAAATCTGATTAAACAAAGGAATTTTAGTGCCTGTACTGTAAATCTTGCAATACATGAAGCCAATCTGAAAACAATAACATGTTTTAAAAACTTTGAGGCTGGCTAGGCACGGTGGCTCATGCCTGTAATCCCAGCACTTTGGGAGGCTGAGGAAGGAGGATCACGAGGTCAGGAGATCAGCAGCATCCTTTCGGCACCTTCCTGGCTAACACGGTGAAACCCCATCTCTACAGGAAAAAAAAAAAAAAAAAAAAATTCGCCGGATGTGGTGGCATGTGCCCGTAGTCCCAGCTGCTTGGGAGACTGAGGCAGCAGAATCACTTGAACCTGGGAGGCAGAGGGTGGAGTTAGCCAAGATCGAGCCACTGCATTCTAGCCTGGGCAACAGACAGAGAATCATTCTCAAAAAAAAAAAAAAAGGGCCAGGCGCGGTGGCTCAAGCCTGTAATCCCAGCACTTTCGGAGGCCGAGACGGGCGAATCACGAGGTCAGGAGATCGAGACCATCCTGGCTAACATGGTGAAACCCCGTCTCTACTAAAAAATACAAAAAACTAGCTGGACGAAGTGGCGGGCGCCTGTAGTCCCAGCTACTCGGGAGGCTGAGGCAGGAGAATGGCGTAAACCCAGGAGGCGGAACTTGCAGTGAGCTGAGATCCGGCCACTGCACTCCAGCCTGGGCGACAGAGCGAGACTCCGTCTCCAAAAAAAAAAAAAAAAAAAAAAAGAAAGAAAAGAAAAAAGAAAGAAATGAAAGAAGTCTAAAGAGTAACTCCCACCCACAAATATACATAAAGTTCTCCAGTAAAGGTAAATAAAAAGATAGATAGTCTGGATGCAGTGGTTCACATCTGTAATCCCGCACTTTAGGAGGACAAGGCAGGTGGATCACCACCTGAGGGCAGAAGTTCGAGACCAGTCTGACCAACAAGGAGAAACCTTGTCTCTACTAAAAATACAAAATTAGCCGGGCATGGTGGCACATGCCTGTAATCCCAGCTACTCAGAAAACTGAGGCAGGAGAATCACTTAAACCCAGAAGTCAGAGGTTGCAGTGACCCAAGATCGTGCCATTGCACTCCAGCCTGGGCAACAGAACAAAACTTTGTCTCATAAATAAATAAATAAGCAAATAACCAAATAAAAGGACAGATACAGAAACTTGTAACAGTGTACCTTTTCTTCATAATTCAACTTTCTTTCCTATTATTTAGAAGAAAACAGCATGAGAAAACACTGTACATATGTGATACTGAAAATGCAACATACACAAAATAATTCTAACGTAAATAACAAAGAGTTCTAGAGGAGAAAGAGTAGTTTTCGCAGGTTATGAAAATTTTTTTTGAGACAGAGTCTCACTCTGTCGCTCAGGCAGAAGTGCAGTGGCATGACCTTGGGTCACTGCAACCTCCGCCTCCTGGGTTCAAGTGACTCTCCTGCATCAGCCTCCTGAGTAACTGAGATTACAGGCACCCACCATCGTGTCTGACTAATTTTTGTATTTTTAGTAGAGATGGAATTTCGCCATGCTAGCCAGACTGGTTTTGAACTCCTGACCTCAGGTGATTTGCCCGCCTTGGCCTCCCAGAGTGCTGGGATTACAGTGGCACTCGTGTGCCACTGGGGCACAAGAATTTTTTGAGCCCGAGAAGTGAAGCCAGCTGCAGTGAGCCAACATCGCACACAGCAGTGACGGTTTGGCGACAGAGTGAGACTCTATCATAAACAAACAAACAAAGTTCAATAAGAAGGGAGTCAAACATGTCTACATAAAAAAGCAATTAAACACAAAAAGTAATAAACGAGAAATGAAGAATAAAAACAAACCTACAAGAAATACAGATAATATGTAACAGAAACGCAATGGTAAGGTCTTCTCCATCAGTAATACTTCAAATGTAAATATTTAACTCTGCACTCAGAAGGCAAAGACTGGCTCAATCAACAGGAACCAACTACATGTTGTCCACAGAAGACTCATATTAGCCCTAAGGACACACATACGCTAAAATTTAAAAAATAAAAACCAATAATTAGGTATGGGGGTTGGCGCCTGTAACCCCAGCGACTCAGGAGGCCGAGGAGGATGTGTTGAGCCCAGGATATCAAGACCAACTTCAACAACACAGCAAGACCATGTCTGTAAACAAAAACAAAAACAACAACTACAAAACAAAAAAAAACTAAAAAAGTAGCCCGGCATGGTGGCATGCACTTGTACCAGCTACTGGGGGAGGCTGGGGTGGGACAATCACTTGAGCCCAGGAATTCAAGATTGCAGCGAGCCCTGATCACACCATTACACTCCACCCTGGGGGACACAGCGAGACACTGTATCTAAAAATAAAGAGAAAATACAAAGATACGCAAGGGCGCATCCCCACTTCTGGAGGGAAGTTATCCTCACCCAGGGAGACCAGGTTCCTATAATTCTCCAGCATCACGTCTCTGTATAAAGTCCTCTGAGCGGGGTCCAGGCATTTCCACTCCTCCTGAGAGAATTCTATGGCCACATCCCTGAATGTCAATAGACCCTGAAATGAAAACACATTTTAAGGAAATGGTTATGGGAGGAGTTCTTATCTTTACAGAAAATGAGAAGAAGAGAGAGGGGAAAGCATGGATTTAATTGTAGAGAAAGTTCTGACATCCAAGTAAGGGATGTTTCACCACATGATGTCTTCTGAGCTGTGTTTTATTATACTTCTTTTTTTTTTTTTTCTGAGATGGAGTCTCGCTCTGTTGCCCAGGCCAGGTTGCAGTGGCACAATCTTGGCTCACAGCCACCTCTGCCTCCCAGATTCAAGCAATTTTCTTGCCTCAGTCTCATGAGTAGGTGGAATTACAGGCAGGCGCCACCACACCTGGTTAATTTTTGTATTTTTAGTAGAGACGGAGTTTCACCATGTTGGTCAGGCTGATCTCGAACTCCTGACCTCGTGATCCACCTGCCTCGGCCTTGCAAAGTGCTGGGATTACAGGCATGAGCCACCACACCTGGCCTTATTATACCTTTTGAAGAGGTCACAATACCCTCTCAGTATGAATTTCTGATGTTTGTGGATAATACAAAAGAAATCAATACAGGAGCCGGGCACAGTGGCTCATGCTTGTAATTTCAGCATTTTTGGAGGCTGAGGCAGGCAGATCACCTGAGGTTGGGAGTTTAAGACCTGCCTGACCAACATGGAGAAACCCTGTCACTACTAAAAAAGAAAAAATACAAAAAGTATCTAGGTGTTGTGGTGCAGGCCTATAATCCCAGCTACTTGGGAGGCTGAGGAAGGAGAATCACTTGAAGCAGGGAGGTGGAGGTTGTGGTGAGCCGAGATTGCGCCACTGCACTCCAGCCTGGGCAACAAGAGTGAAACTCCATCTCAAAAGAAAAAAAAAATAATAAAATAAAATAAAAATCAATGCAGGTCTCTCCTTATAGAAATGTTAGAAACTTTTTTTTCTTTTTGAGACAGAGTCTTGCTCTGTTACCCAGGCTGCAAAGCAAAGGTGCCATCTCAGTTCACCACAACCTCCACCTCCCAGGATCAAGTGATTCTCCTGCCTCAGTCTCCTGAGTAGCTGGGATTCCTGGTGTGCACCACTACTCTTAGCTAATTTTTGTATTTTTAGTAGAAATGGGGTTTCACCATATTGGCCAGTTTGGTCTCAAACTCCTGACTTCATGATCCGCCTGCCTCAGCCTCTCAAAGTGCTAGGATTACAGGTGTGATCCACCGTGCCCAGCCCAGAAACGTTTATTGACAATGCAAGTGACATTCAGTATCTAGATGAGACAGGGTATGAGTGATGTCTTCAGAGATGACAACGTCCACAGTGGAAGATCAGAAGCAGAAGCTAAAATCCGGCCTGGCACAGTGGCACATGCCTGTTATCCCAGCTACCAGGGAGGCTGAGGCAGGAGAATTGCTTGATCCTGGGAGTCAGAGGTTGCAATGATCCGAAATCACGCCACTGCACTCCAGCCTGGGCAACAGAGACTCCATCTCAAAAAAAAATAAATAAATAAAAAAAATAAGCCGGGTACGGTGGCAGGCACCTGTGGTTCCAGCTACTTGGGAGCCTGAGGTAGAAGGATGTCTTGAGCCTGATAGTGGAAGTTGCAGTGAGCTAAGATCGTGCCACTGTGCTCCAGCCTGGGCAACACAGTGAGACCCAGTCTCAAAATAAAAGAAAATACATGAAAACTCAATTACTCAAAGTATGAAAATACATGTTATATATATATGTCCACAAAATAATAAAACCTACACAGACTCACAAGAAACTAGATGTTAATACAAAGGATCTGCCATTTCCCCCAGATTTTCAAAAAATAAAAGATGTTCAAAAAATATATTTGTGTGTGTGTATATATGTATGTATATATATGTGTGTGTGTGTATACTTGTGTAGGTGGGTGTGCATATAGAGAAAGATTTTAGAAATATAAAAAGTAGCAAGTTTTGTTTAACTTAAGAGGAATCACATCTTGGTAGAAGAGGATACACTGGCAGTCGGGGGCGGGGGGAATCTTGTCAGACCTAAGAAAACAGGAAATGCCCCATCCTAGAGGAGGCAATCACCTTTCACCTGCCTGACCTGGAGGAACGTTCAGATATCCGTAGTAATGCAGGCGTGCGCAGAGGCAGCCACTATGGCACTCTTTACACAGAGAAAAATGGCAAAGGAGCCAATTTCCAATGCAGATGCCAAAGAGCAAGCTAGCCATGTTTAGTAATTTGACAACATGTAAATTTTTACAACCAGCAGGATCAAATATCAAAGTAAAATATTTACTGGAACCCAAAGAAGAAAACAACAGACACTGAGGTCTACTTGAGGGTGGAGGGCGGGAAGAAGAAGAGAAGCAGAAAAAAAATAACTCTTGGGGGCTGGGCGCGGTGGATTACGGTTGTAATCCCAGCACTTTGGGAGGCCGAGGCGGGTGGAAAACCTGAGGTCAGGAGTTCAAGACCAGCCTGGCCAACATGGTGAAACCCTGTCTCTAGTAAAAATACAAAAGCTAGCCAGGAGTGGTGGCAGACACCTGTAACTTCACCTACTTAGGAGGCTGAGGCAGGAGAATTGCCTGAACCTGGGAGGCAGAGGTTGCAGTGAGCCGAGATCATGCTATTATACTCCAGCCTGGGCAACAAGAGCAAAACTCAGTCTCAAAAAAATAAATAAAAAATAACTATTGGATATGGGGCTTAACACCAGAGTGATGAAATAATCTGTACAACAAACCCCGATGACACTAGTTTACCTGTGTAATAAACCTTCACACGTAGCCCAAACCTAAGGTAAAAACATAAATATAAAAATAATTTTTAAAAATTTATTGCGGAATTTTTTCTACAGTCTCATAACGATGCAGAAATACACGTGTACGAGATTTGCTCTGACACATGGCACAGAACTGGCAGTAGCGGCTCCCCAGTGAGGCTGGAAGGAGGGTGGAGGACGTGACAGGGAGAGGAGATGCTCTATGGCAAAGGGTCTAAGCTGCAGCTTTGCTTGGAGTGTTACCAGAAAACAAATACATACATCATTTGATGTTTAAATATAAAAATATATATTTAATAATAATTGGTGGGGCTGAGCACAGCTCGTACCTGTAATCTCAGCACTCTGGGAGGCTGAGGCGAGCAGATCACCTGAAGTCAGGAGTTTGAGACCAGCCTGGCCAACATGGTGATACCCTGTCACTAATAAAAAATGCAACAAAATTAGCTGGGTGTGGTGGCGCATGCCTATAATTCCAGCTACTTGGGAGGCTGAGGCAGGAGAATCTCTTGAACCCGGGAAGTGGAGGTTGCCATGAGCCACGATCATGCCACTGCACTTCAGCCTGGGCAACAGAGCAAGACTTTGTATATTTAAAATATAATATTATAATAATATAATAATAATAATAGGTGGAATGAGAATATGGCTCCATCCTCTAGGATAAAAAAGTACTGCTCCCATATTTGAGAAAAATTATAATCGTTTTTACTGAAAACACCTGTTTCACAAGCCTCTCCACAGTAACACCACAGTCTCCATGAGCTTAATGTGTTACGAATGGATTAATAAATCTCCTATTATTTATGTTGATTTCATTTTCTTAAAATAATGTTGGAATAAAACACCTTGTATCATTTATTTCTGTGTATGAACTTTCCATTCTAATTAGTAAGATTTTTGGAGTCAGAAACACAGTAACTCACTTGATTACCTAAAAAGGTAGTATAAAATTTTCAGGCAGAAAATATTTTCCCCTTATTGGTCTCCTTTTCTAGAATTTATCATGTATGTTGTGCCCATTAATAGATGACTTCCATTGGCAGCTGCTCTACTCCTGGTCCACAGAGAGCTGACAGTGCATCCAGATGTGGCCCCTGAACAATCCCTGCTGCCCAACAGCACTGACACCACGGGACCCTCACCCCATCTCCATCCATGTCTGGTGTGAGCCCTTCCCAGGCCCATGCCCAGTGCCGCCTCTTCCCAAGTTCATGTCACTGGGTCACAAGAGACGGAATCTAAGCGAGATGAGAGGGACTGAGGGAAGGCATGGGTGAGGGTGAGCAAACCTGTCAGGCAGAACGCTTCAGACTCAGAGAAGATTCCCCACTCCAAGGCCCAGCGTTTCTGAAAGGAAGGAGACAGAACAATCCACCGAGAATATCATCTCACCTGAGGAAGAGCCATCCCTGACTCCTTTGCTTTCCTCTTCCTCTTCCAGGTTTCTTCTTCATGTACCAAGAGTCTTTAGAAGTCAATCCTGAAAGTTAAAAATATGCTGTTTATTGCTCAGAATCAACACATCCCCCTCCCTGTAACACAACAACACATACAAAGGACACCTCACCCTGAGAACATACGGTCCCCTCTGTTGCCCACTGCACCAGGGACGATAAACTCCTACAGGCAGTGGAAGGTGAAAAAACGAAAAGAAGCATGCAGAGCAACCAATATGGACCAGAGGAGGGGGTGAGGGTGCAGCTGGAGTGTTAAATGGGAGGTGGGTCACAGAAGTCACCACTGAGCAGGTGATATCAAAACAGAGACCTGGGGAAGGAAGAGTGTTTGCACCTGCAGCTAAGGGGCCAGCGAGTTCCAGCAGAGGGACAGCCCCCATGAAGGCCTTGAGGCAGGAGCAACCTCGGCCCAGGAAGAGGAAAGACGGCTGTGTGGCTGAAGCAGAGGGAGGGAGGAGGACACAGGAAAGAGATGAGGTCAGAGAGGTCCTGGGGGCATAGATCCGGCAGGGACGAGGTCTTCTAACATTTTCCTCCCACAACTCCAAAGAATTTTTAAAATGATGAATTTCTTCACCCATTTTGAGTAAACATGTAATTTTTTCTTTATATCACAAATTAAAACCCTTACAAATAATGTAATTATCCTTTACGTTTTAAAAGCATGTTGAGATTTTAGTGATATCCTGGGAAGCACATGGTCACCTCATCTGAGAAGGGCAGGAGCACAGGGGAACGCGTTCACAGAAGTTCGGGAGGTCACCTTTGGACACGTGAAGGTGGAGATGCCTGTTCATCCTCCCAGCAGAGAGGTAAGGAGTCAACTGGACACAGGACTGTAGCGTTCAGGGGAGAGGTCTGCAGAGGCCATGGGGCCACGGGGGTAAAGTTTAAAGCCATGAGATGAGGCCAGGCACGGTGACTCACACCTGTAATCCCAGCACACTGGGAGGCCAAAGTGGACAGATCACTTGAGGTCAGAAGTTCGAAACCAGCCTGGCCAACATGGTGAAACCCTATCTCTACTAAAAATACAAAAATGAGGCCAGGTGCAGTGACTCATGCCTGTAATCCCAACACTTTGGGAGGCTGAGGCAGGTGTATCACGAGGTCAGGAGTTCAACACCAGCCTGACCAACATGGTGATATCCTGTGTCTACCAAAAATACAAAAATTAGCTGGGCGTGGGGCACATGCCTGTAATCCCTGCTGTTCAGGAGACTGAGGCACGAGAACCGCTTAAACTCGGGAGGCGGAGGTTGCGGTGAGCCGAGATCATGGCACTGCACTCCAGCCTGGGATATAATATCAAAACTCTGTCTCAAAATAAACTAATAAAAAATTAGCCAGGCATGGTGGTGCATGCCTGTAGTCCCAGCTACCTGGGAGACTGACACATGAGAATCGCTTGAACCCAGAGGACAGAGGTTGCTGTGAGCCGAGATCTTGCCACTGCACTTCAGCCTGGGTGGCAGAGTGAGACTCCGCCTCAAATAAATAAAAACGAAAAATAACCTGGAGAAAGGAGGAAATTATAGTCTGTCGGTTTGCCATTTTGATGCCTGGCACAGACAGCACCTCTATTTGCGTCCCCTGGCGTACACTAGAGCTCCATAGCTACTGAGTGAGTGAGTGAATGAGAATGAGCGATACTAGTATGTCCTCTCTGGGGTCTCGTGTGCCAGGGTCCTGGTTGACCTAAACTCTGCAGAAAGAGGAGAGGCTTCCTTGCTGCCCAGACTCTCAATGAAGAAAAATTCCTGGGGTCTAAGACTTCTCAGTTGGCAATGACATTGGCTTAAATGTTCCCAAACACAAATCCTCGGGTCTTAGTTGGGTCTTGGCATGGTGCAAACTGACAGAATTGCAGGCAATGAGCGCCAGAATAAAACAGCGGACAGGAAGGTGGAAGATTTGAGGGAGGGGGTCAAGGAGAGGCAGAGAAACCACTCCCCTCCCTCAGAGGCCCACCTGGGGAAGCACCAACTTTGCCATTCTAGAGAAGACAACGGGAAAGGAAGGACTGTGTATAGGGTGGGTGACGGTGTGTGCTGGGTGGAGAGAAAAATTTTTCTAAATGTCACTGCAATAGCTCAACCCATCCGTCTTACCAACTGCTGAGCACAGGAGCATCCTGTGAGGATAAATACAGCTTTTCCTTCCTCCAGTTCCTGAGTCTTCCAGCCATGACCAGGGCTGTAACCCTCAAACTTCCTTCCCAGGAACCAGTGGCCCCTCTTTGTGGAAAACATATTTGTGCTCCACATTTTCATTATAGCATATTTATTTATTTATATAGAGATGGAGTCTTGCTCTGTCACCACACTGAAGTGCAATGGTGCGATCTCCGCTCACTGCAACCTCTGCCTCCCGGGTTCAAGCCATTCTCCTGCCTCAGTCTCCCAAGTAGCTGGGATTACTGATGCACACTGCCATGCCTGGCTCATTTCTTTTCTTTTCTTTTTTTTGTTTTTAGTAGGTGCTGCAGTTGTCCTGTGGCCAAGATGAGAAATGTGCATCCTCCAACAAAGGGAGATACAAAACACTCAAAATAATCCAAGCAGAACGGCATCTCCGGGTAGGCATGGCGGCTCTTGCCTGTAATCCCAGCACACTGGTAGGCCTAGGCAGACTCATGACCTGAGGTCATGAGTTTGAGACCAGCCTGGCCAACATGGTGAAACGCTGTCTCTACTAAAAACACAAAAGTTGGGGCGGGCGTGGTGGCTCATGCCTGTAACCCTAGCGCTCTGGGAGGCCAAGGCAGGTGGATCACTTGAGGTCAGGAGTTTGAGACCAGCCTGACCAACATGGTGAAACTCCATCTCTACTAAAAATACACAAAGTAGCTGGGCTTGGTGGGAGTCTGTAAATCCGGGCTACTCAGGAGGCTGAGGCAGGAGAATTGCTTTAACCCGGGAGGTGGAGGTTGCAGTGAACCATGATTACGCCACTGCACTCCAGCCTGGGAGATAGGTTGAGACTCAAACGTAAAATTAAATTAAATTAAATTAAAATTAAAATACAAAAATTAGCCGGGTGTGGTGGCACACACATTTAATTTCAGCTACTTGCAAGGGTGAGGCAGAAGAATCGCTTGAACCCAGGAGATAGAGGTTGCAGGGAGAGAAGGTCACGAGCCTGCACTCACAGCCTGCACGATGGAGTGAGACTGTCTCAAAAAAAATAAAATAAAATAAGAAGAGTGTTTCTGATGTGACTGATGCAGAGATAATAAAATCTGAGTAACATGATAGAGACTGACAGGCAGAGGGAACTTCAGATGGCGGTGGGAGGGCATAGGAGACAGCTCTCAGCCTAGACCTGAAAGAGGAGAAAGGGACAGGGCTGTGATCACTTAGGGACATGGGGTAACAGCAGGGACAGCGATCTGAGACAGGAAGGGTTTTAGTGTTTGGGAAAAGAGAAAAGCAATATGCCTGGGGCAGAGAGAGTCATGAGACGAGGACAAGCTCCCAGGAGGAGGCTGGACACTGGCAGGGGCCCTGGACACAGGGCTGTGGAGCCACAGTGAGGAGTTGGGCTTTCAACGTTTGTCCAAATGGACCAGAGGTGCCTTAACGGAAACATGCACTTAAGAGCTCACAGCTCAAGATTTTAACAAATGACATAAGGAAAGAAAACTGAAAAATAGGGTAACTGGTTAAATTACATTTCGATGTTAAAGGTTTCCAATAAATAATAAAGACTAGAAAGCATGCAGACTTCGATCTGATCGAACGCAACTAATTTCAAACAGAAACCATTTTGAAACTGTTTTTTAAAAAATCGAACAAATTCAGATGTCAACGGGAAAATAACTGGACCATATACGTGTACAGAAAGGAATGATGTGAGCTGGTTATAGGATGCCACAAAGGCATCTTTCAGAAGCGATTATGGATTAAAAAAGAAATATTTAAAACCAAGATTTGGCCGGGCGCGGTGGCTCAAGCCTGTAATCCCAGCACTTTGGGAGGCCGAGATGGGCGGATCACGAGGTCAGGAGATCGAGACCATCCTGGCTAACACGATGAAACCCCGTCTCTACTAAAAAATACCAAAAAACTAGCCGGGCGTGGTGGCGGGCACCTGTAGTCCCAGTTACTGGGAGGCTGAGGCAGGAGAATGACGTGAACCCGGGAGGCGGAGCTTGCAGTGAGCTGAGATCCGGCCACTGCACTCCAGCCTGGGGGACAGAGCAAGACTCCGTCTCAAAAAAAAAAAAAAAAAGAAAAAAAAAAAACACCAAGATTTATCTCAAAGTAAAACTGCAAAAAAAAAAAAAAAAAAAGGAAAGAAAGAAAGAAATGAAGAGGAACCAGAAAGAAAATATGTTACATAACGAGAACAAAAGCACTTTCGATGTCCCTTTTGCTTTCATTTTTTGTTGTTTTTGTTTCTTTGTTTTTCTGAGATGAAGACTCGCTCTGCCCCCCAGACTCTAGGGCAGTGGTATCGTTTCGATTCACTGCAACCTCTACCTCCCAAGTCTGTCTGATTCTCATGCCTCAGCCTCCTGAGCAGCTGGAACTACAGGTGCACGCCACCATGTCCGGCTTACTTTTTTAGTATTTTTACTACAGACTGGGTTTCACCATGTTGGCCAGAATGGTCATGAACTACTGACCTTCGGTGATTGGCTCCCAAAGTACTGTGATTACAGGCATGAGCCACCACGTCCAGCTTTGATGGTTCTTTTTTTTTTTTTTTTTTTTTTTTTTGAGATGGAGTCTCACTCTTACCCAGGATAGAGTACAGTGGCGCAATCTTGGCTCACTGCAACCTCCGCCTCCCAGGTTCAAGTGATTCTCCTGCCTCGGCGGGTGCCACCACACCCAGCTAATTTTTAAATTTTTAGGAGCAAAGGGATTTCACCATGTTGGTCAGGCTGGTCTCAAACTCCTGACCTTGTGATCCTTGTGATCCACCCGCCTCGGCCTCCCAAAGTGCTGGGATTACAGGCATGAGCCACTGCTCTTTTAAAAAGTACTATGGGCTAGGCGTGGTGGCTCATGCCTGTAATCCTAGCATTTGGGGGGCCAAGGCGGGTGGATCATCTGAAGTTGGGAGTTTGAGACCAGCATGACCAATATGAAGAAACCCCGTCTCTACTAAAAACACAAAATTAGCTGGACATGGTGGCTCATGCCTGTAATCCCAGCTACTTGGGAAGCTGAGGCAGGAGAATCATCTGAACCTGGGAAGCGGAAATTTCGGTGAGCGGAGATTGTGCCATTGCATTCCATCCTGGACAAGAGTGAGATTCCATCTCAAACAAACAAACGACGACTATGTAGGCCAGGCATGGTGGCTCCTCTCTGTAATCCCACCTGTAATCCCAGTAATTTGGGAGGCCAAAGCCAGACGATCCTTTGAGGCCAGAATTGAGACCAGCCTGGGAAACATAGTGAAATCCCGTTTCTGGGGGGGGGGGGGGGGGGGGGAAACCTAGCCGGATTTGGTGGCTCACACCTGTGGTCCCAGCTACTCAGGAGGCTGAGGCAGGAGGATTGCTTGAGTCTAGGAGGTCGAGGCTGCAGTTAGAGGAGATCACACCACTGCACTCCAGCCTGGGGGACAGAGCCAGACTCTGTCTCAAAATATATATTAATTAAATTAAAACTATTACATAATAACAGAAAGTGATTCTCCCATGTCACTGCCCCTACCCCACCATGGGAAAAGGGAAGAGAGTGTCTCAGAATTGAATTAAGTCACTGTCCTCTGGCTGTACAGGGATTCCAAGTGGAAGCTGACCTCTGATGCCAAGATGTATAGAATATACATGCCTTAGAGATAGGAATTTTAAAATTCTCAGTATCATCTGTATAATTTAAACAAGTTTTAAGTTATTAGATTATATACAGAGAAGTCAACCTGTCACAACTAATCATATCCAATGAACTCACCCATTCACCTGAACCCAAAGTCCCCCACCCCTTTTAATCTTTTGAGACAGGGTCCCACTGTGTTGACCAGGCTGGAGTGCAGTGGCATGATCTCGGCTCACTGCAGCCTGGACCTCCTGGGCTGAAGTGATTCTCCTGCCTCAGCCTCCAGAGTAGCTGGGATTACAGGTGTGCACCATCACGCCCGGTTAATATTTTTTTTCTTTTGGCAGAGATGGGGTTCTCACTATGTTGGCCAGGCTAGCCTCGAACTCCTGGACTCCAGCAATCCCCTTGCCTCAGTCTCCTAAACTGCTGGGATTACAGGCGTGAGCCACTGCGCCCAGCTCCTCTGTCTTCATTACTGTGCTTCCCTCCCTAATTCTGTACATATCTCTCATTCTCCCCTTCTCTCTCTAGCTCTTGTTTTCTTGTCTTTTTCCCTGGGATCTGCTCCTCCTGCTTTCTTTTTTCTTTTTCTTTTTTTTTTTTTTTTTTTTTCATTTTTGCTGTCTCTTGGCAAATCCCTCAGCCATCCTCTACTTTGCCATCTGTTATGGGTCTTTCTCATTCTTCTCTCTGTCTCAGGTTTTCTACTGCTCTCTCTCAGTCTCCTGATCCCTTTGGCCCACACAATCACAGGGGGCTTTGGAGTAAGACGCCTGCATCCCGGAGAAGCGCATTTTCCAGGGGCTGGGCTGAGCAGGCAAGAACAACCGGTGTCATAGGACAGCCAAGGGCACCTCCCCTACGCGGGCTCAGGGTAAGCGGTGACTGCGGTGGGGAGACCTGGGGAGCATAAGGGCCCGGAACGAGGAGGGAGGTGGGGGGCGACGGCGCCTTAAGACAAGGCTGGGAGGCGCCAAGGGCGGGAATCCACCTTGCCGTAAGGACTTTAAAAAGTGCGGGTCGGGAGGAGTCAGAAAAAGGTTTTGAGCAGGAAAACTACGCGATGGGAAGTGTATACACCGTCCTGTAAGAGAAAGACCCGCGAAGGGACCATCCTCAGGGCGACTTTAAACTCAAAAGGAAGCAACCCCTGGACTCTCACGGGGACGTCTAAATTTGCTGTGGGTGAAAGAAGACGGGTGAGAATTTCCAGGTCTATGGGGACCCCAGGGCCCAGGTACAGAAGCGCCGGGGACCTAGGACACGCAGACTTAACACAGAGCAAAACTCACCGCTGCGGGGGGACCGTCACTCCACGCGATCCGCTTCCGGGTTTGCGTAAATCTGCGCGCGCAGGACAGAAGCCAGGCCTGGGCGGGACCCACGAGGAGGTGGGCGGGGCCTGGGCGAGGTAGGGGCGGGGCGCGAGGCGGAGAGACCTTGCCCTTCAGAATTAGTAGAGGGCGGGGCCCGGGCGGGACCTGTGCGCCTCTCAACCTCGGTCCCAGCGCCTCTGGTTTTCGAGCTTTGGAGGCGGGACCGGCCAGGAAAGCTGAGGCATGATTCAAAAGCCCTGTAATTGTCTGAAACGGGGATGCAAACTAGAATGTGAAATGCAAAGCCCTGCCTGGGTGGAGCGTAACGATTTCAGGCTGACGGCCCAAATAATAGAATAGAAATCCTCTCCCTTTCCATTCTCCATTCACTGGGAAAGGAGAGTGCACCCTACGCTCAGCTTCAGAGACTTTCCTAGGGCCACCGCCTGGGATGCGGGACGGAGTGCTCAGTCCAGGAAGGAGTGAGGTCACCACCTGCTGCTTAAACCCAGCAGAGAGGCGGGCACAGGGCCGAAAGCCTGAGGTTCCAGCTACTCAGAAAGCAGCGGCAGGAGGATCGCTGAACCTGGGGCTTCAAGTTAGCCTGGGCGACAAACACCTCCTCCTGCAGCGCTCCTTTCCTCGTCTCTCTCTCTCTCTTTTAAATTTCTTTAAATAAAATTTTTGATTGTGTGAGATAGGGATCTAACATTATTCTTTTTCATGTGAATATCCAGTGAGTTGTCCCAGCACATTTGTGGAAGAGATCTATTACTGTCATTCTTATATTTACACTTTTCTTTTCTTTTCTTTTTTGAGACAGAGTATTTATCTGTCACCCAGGTTGGAGTGCAGTGGCGAGATCTCGGCTCACTGCAACCTTCATCCCCTGGGTTAAAGTAGTTCTCTTGCCTCAGCCTCCCAACTAGCTGGGATTACAGACGGGCGTCACCAAGCCTGGCTAATTGTTTTGTATTTTTAGTAGAGACGGGGTTTCATCACGTTGGCCAGGCTGGATTCGAACTCCTAACGTCAAGTGATCCGGCCGCCTCCTCCTCCCAAACTGTTGGGATTACAGGCGTTAGCCACCGCGTCTGGTCAGGAAAACTCTTAGAAGTTGTGTCTGCATACCACTGGACTCAGGTTGCATGACCACATTCCTTTCAAATCTCAGTATTTAAAGGTCCATACCTTTACATTGGAATTATTTGATGTTTGAAATATTTAACTTCCTACCGAGATACAGGTACTGTCTCCCTTGTTGTTTGCCTTTCAAAGAGAGACCCCAAGTCCTTCAGAAATACATCCCTGGGTTATTAAGCTGAAAAAAGGATTACGTTGTTTCTAAAAAATACCACTTCAAGCTAGGCGCGGTGGCTCACACCTGTAATCCCAGTGGTTTAAGAGGCGGAGGCGGGCGGATCGCCTGAGGTCGGGAGTTCGAGACCAGTCTGACCAAAATGGAGAAACCCCATATCTAGTATAAATACAAGGTTAGCCGGGCATGCTGGTGCATGCCTGTAATCCCAGCTACTCAAATGGCTGAGGCAGGAGAATCGCTTGAACCCGGGAGACAGAAGTTGCGGTGAGGGGAGATCGCACCATTGCACTCCAGCGTGGGCAACAAGAGCAAAACTCGGTCTAAAGAAAAGCCTCGGAGACAGAGAAAATGCATTTACAAATTTTCTAAATAAATGTCCTAGGAAAAGAGACGAAAAAAAATCTTTTTTATTTTCAAAGGAGGAATTATACCTCTCATTTATTTGCTTGTTTGTTTGAGACAGGGTCTCGCTCTGTCACCCAGGCTGGAGTGTGGTGGCGAGATTAGAGCTCACTGCAACCATAAAATCCCTGGCTCAAGTGATCCGACCTCAGCGCCCCAAGCAGTTGGGACCACAGGCGTGCACCACCACACCTGACTCATTTTTTGATTTTTAGTACAGACGACGTCTTACTACGTTGCCCAGGCTGATCTCCAAATCCTGGGCTCAAGCGATCCTCCCGCCTCGGCCTCTCAAAGTGCTGGAATTACAGGTGTGAGCCACCGCTCCAGGACCTGACTTTACTTCCGTGAAATATGAAATTATCCTCCACCTCCTCTGTGTAATAGGCAGTTTTGCATGTCACCTTTCAGTTTCCATTAGCCACTCAAACAACCCAGGACCTTGCTTAGTTTAATAAGACTTTCTGTCAGTCCCCGCTGCAACCAGCGCCCCACTCCACCCCTCCACCGAGGTCCCTGCCCCTCTCCCCCGCCCTGCCCCAGACGGAGGGGAGCTCGCCCCGCCTGCAGGACGCGCGACTCTACCTGCTCAAAAAAGGCCCTTTGCATTAAAGCCATTTTCAATTTAAGAGGAAAAACTATTCAGCGTTCAGCACAGGTGGTCCACTACAGTAAGTTGTTTTACCTTCGATTGCTTGAAATAAACTTAAAACGGGCAGGAAGCATCCACGTGATACTAGGGGTAACATCACGGCACATGAAAATCAATCCACCAATCGGAACCCGGAGGATCCAGTCCTAGAGGGAGAGGAAGACAGCCGGCGACATCCATGGCCCAGCTGAGGAGAGAGCCCGGACCCGCCCCCTCCAGGCCTGGCTCTTTAGAATCACACACCTTCGGGAGCCCGCCCCCTAGACGACAATAACCCTCTGGCGCCGCTCCTGCGGGCTGTCCGACCCGGCCCCAGGAAGCCTTCTCCCTCTTGCCCCGCCCCAGTCCCGTTCCAGGCCCCGCACCCACAGCGGCCTCCACCCTCTAGCCCCGACCCAGCACCTGTTCAAGTCCCGCCCCCTCTTTGACCTTCCCCCCTCCCGCCTGTCCCCGCCCAGCGTCTAGGCCCCGCCCAGAAAAGGTCCAGGACCCACCCATGGTTTTTCTGCACCTAGCGCCCGGACTGACTCAGATGACTGTTTTCTTCTTTTTTTTTTTTTGTCTTTCTGCTTCAGACCTGCCTTTCGCAGCACCCTAGCCCCGAGTCCAGCCACACCAGGAATCTGGGTGCTTCGGAATGTTGAAATCCCCACGCGGTTTGTGCAGTTATCAGGGAGTCCCAGGTTCACCATGGGAAGCTCACAGGCCCGGTGGCTCTGCAGCTTTTACATCGTTTTACACCTCCCCCTTTCAGGATCCTATTGCCCTTTTCATTAATCCCAGCTGGCGGCTGCTGAGCGCCTCCTCCTTATCCACCCATGTTTCCCAGCTCTCAGTCCTTTTGTTATCATGAATGGTGACTCCAGTGTCGATCTTTTTCTTGGCATGGTGGATGAGGACTACGAAATTCCTATTTTTATGAGAATTAGATCATCTGTCTGTTTTTTGTATAACGTTCAGTCGTTTTGTTGCCTAAAACGGGGTCACAGTCCACACCTCATGTTAGAGTTCTTGCATCTTGCGCAGTAAAGAATTCAAGGCGAGTGTCCCAGTGCAGTGAGGAGAGTTGATTGAAAGCTACCAGTTACACAGCAGGGGGTCCTTAGAAAGCAGAGGGAACGCCTCCTCATGAAGCTTTTCTTATATAGGGGCCTAAGTAAAAGCTAAGGTATGTCTTCCTGCCGGTAGGCTGACAGTGTGACAAAACTTCAATATTACTTTGTTGGTTTGAAGCTATCTTTAGCCAGGCGTGGTGGCTCACACCTGTAATCCCAGCACTTTGGAAGGTCGAGGTGGGCAGACCACCGGAGGTCAGGAGTCTGAGACCAGCCTGCTATCTTAAAAGCAAACATTGTCATGGGCTATTGGGTCGTCTGGACATCGTGTTTCTGTAGGAGTTTGTCCTTACAGGTATCATTAAGATGCTTTCGTTAACCGTAAACATCTTATAACCGTGACTCATGCGTGAGCAGTAAGGCATATGTCTTGCTAGTTTTAATGGACATGAACTTTGTCATTCTAGCTCTCCTACGTTCCTGCTTAACGGTTTATCCACTCATGCAACAGAGACCTAAGCCCAACCATGGAGAGACACCACTCTCCTGTAATGTATCTGACAGACTGAGCTCCTACTCCAAGAACGCAGTAATAGCAATACCAAATGAAATATTAGGAAGTTTCATACATGCATATAAGTGATCACTATTTGCAGTTTTAAATTGGCTAACATTACATAGAATGGGTTTTTATTTTAATCAAATATTAGTAATCTATCTTCCACACAATGTTGAAGAGCATTTCCTTATGTTGAATAAATATGAAGGAGTTCACATTTTGGACCTGATTTTGTGCTTTCCATTACATCTAGTTGTTTTTCTGTTCTCTCTTGATTTTTTCTGTGTTCATGAGCTTGTGAAGTGCCTCAATCAATTTAGAAATCCATTTTGCCAAGGTTAAAAATGCCCCCGTGGCGCAGCCTCAGGAGGTCCTGACGATGTGTGCCCAAGGTGTTCAGCCTGCAGTTTGGTTTTACACATTTTAGGGAGACATAATACATCAATCAAAACATGTAAGATATATATTGGTTCGGTGTGGAAAGGTGGAATAACTGGAATTGGGGGGCTTCCGGGTCACAGGTAGATGACAAAGTAGAGTCCAAGTGTCTGTCATGAAATGGGTTAGAAGAGACTAGAAGATTCCCAGGAGACTCGGTCTCAAGCAATCCTCCCACCTCAGTCTCCCAAGGTGCATGGACCACAGGTGTGATCCACTGAACATAGTGGAGTCTCCATCTCAAAAAAACAAAACAAAGAGTAAGGTACTCTATTGAATTACTTCACTTGACATTTTTTTCAAATGAAATGTTTCACATATTACCGAACCCAGCCAACAAATGCATTCATAACAGATTCAGAGATAAAAAATATATTCCCAATAAAACATATCCAACTCTCCAGATAGTGGTGACATTTTCAGCTTGATATGGTAACATAATTGTGACCTTATTACCAGTTTTCATGCGAATCCACTAGGAAATGGGACAATTTTGCTTTTGTTTCTTGGTCAGGACTCGCTTAATCCTGAAAGTCTTGTGAGAAGACCTGGCGAGAAGACAAGTCAAGCACACACCACAAGAGGAGAAGAGGCATGACTTTTTTTTTTTAAGACTTGTTTTGCCCAGGCTGGAGTACAATGGTGCAATCTCGGCTCACTGCAACCTCCGCCTCTTGGGTTCAAGCGATTCTCCTGCCTCAGCCTCCCAAGTAACTGAGTTTGGCCAAAATATCAACTAGAAAGGCAGGAACGTGGCCAAAGGTGGGAAGTTTGAATGCTATTACCATATTCCCGCTTGACCTTTACTGCCAACAGCAACACCACACAAATGGTCAGAAGTCCCCTTATGTGAAAAATCTTCGTGATCTCATGGGAAAACCCTGATTTTTGTAAAGGCTGCAAAACAGGCTCAAAAAAAAAAAAAAAAAAGTCAGTTGCAGTGGCTCACGCCTGTAATCCTTCCACTTTGGGAGGCCGAGGCAGGTGGATCAGCTGGGGTCAGGAGTTCGAGACCAACCTGACCAATATAGAGAAACCCCCTACTAAAAATACAAAAATTAGCCAGGCGTGGTGGCAGATGCCTGTAATCCCAGCTACTCAGGAGGCTGAGGCAGGACAATTGCTTGAACCCAGGAGGCAAAGGTTGCAGTTAGATCACACCACTACTCCAGCCTGGGTGACAAGAGTGAGACTCCATCTCAAAACAAAGATAAAATAAAATATAAAATAAAAATAAAAAAAATAAAAAAATTAGCATAGTGTTGGCGCACACCACTAATCCCAGCTACTCAGGAGGCTGAGGCAGGATAATTGCTTGAATGCAGGAGGCAGAGGTTCCAGTGAGCTGAGATCATGTCATTGCACTACAGCCTGGGCGACAAGAGTATCTCAAAAAATAAAAATTGAAACCAGGCTGGCTAAAGTGGCTCAAGGCTGTTGGCCAGGCTGCTGACCTCAAGTGATTTACCTGCCTTGGTCTCCCAAAGTGCTGGGATAACAGGCATGAGCCACCACGCCTGGCCCATTCTTCTTAACATTACCACTTTTCATGTCAATTAATGCTTGAACTCAATGTTAAGTCAACTTAAACTCAAGTCAATGCGGAGTTGACTCTAATGTCAATTAAAGCTTTATGATTTTCTATATTCATTTTATTTGGAACAATTATCTCAAAAATGAATTTTCTGATGTTCTGCATGGAGTACCCAGACTGAAGACCTTGCCGCCCTTATGACATTTAAGATTTCTATCCAGTATGGATTCTCTGATGCCTCATGATTTGTGAATGTGAAGTAAAGGCTTTGTCACAATCATCACACTTGTGAGATTTCTCTCCTGAATGAATTATCCTGTTTTGCATAGGATGAAGCTTGACTGAAGACCTTGCCAGTCATGATATTTGTAAGGTTTCTCTCCAGTATGAGTTCGCTGATGAATTATAAGTTATGAATGATGTCTGAAAAATTTGCCACATTTATTACACTTTTCAGACTGTGGGTGAAAGATATATCAGACTGTTACTGTGTCTACGCAGAAAAAGGAAGACATAAAACTCCATTTTGATCTGTACTAAGAAAAACTCTTCTGCCTTGAGATGCTGTTAATCTGTAACCCTAGCCCGAACGCTGTGCTCGCAGAAACATGTGTTGTATTGACTCAAGGTTTAATGGATTTAGGGCTGTGCAGGATATGCTTTGTTAAAAATGTGTTTGCAGGCAGCATGCTTGGTAAAAGTCATCACCATTCTCCAGTCTCAAGTACCCAGGGACACAATACACTACAGAAAGCTGCAGGGACCTCTGCCCAAAAAAGTCTGAGTATTGTCCAAGGTTTCTCCACACTGAGACAGCCTAAGATATGGCCTCGTGGGAAGGGAAAGACCTGACCGTCCCCCAGACCGACACCCATAAACGGTCTGTGCTGAGGAGGATGAGTGAAAGAGGAAGGCCTCTTTGCAGTGGAGATAAGAGAAAGGCATCTGTCTCCCGCTCCTTCCTGGGAATGGAATGTCTCAGTGTAAAATCTGATCATACGTTCTATTTACTGAGATAGGATAAAACCTCCTTACGGCTGGAGGTGAGACATGCTGGCAGCAATACTGCTCTTTACTGCACTGAGATGTTTGTGTAAAGTCAAACATAAATCTGGCCTACGTGCACATCGAGGCACAGCACCTTTTCTTAAACTTATTTCTGATGCAGAGTCCTTTGCTCACATTTTCCTGCTGACCCTCTCCCCATCATTACCCTATAGTCCTGCTACATCCCCCTCACTGAGATGGTAGAGAATAGTGATCAATAAATACTGAGGGAACTCAGAGACTGGTGCCAGCACGGGTCCTCCATATACTGAGCGCCAGTCCCCTGGCCCACTTTTCTTCCTCTATACTTTGTCTCTGTGTCTTATTTTTCTCAGTCTCTCATCCCACCTGACAAGAAACACCCACAGGTGTGGAATGGGTGGCCCCCTTCACAAGATCTCTCTTCTTTATGGATTCTCTAATGATTTGCAATGACTGTAGCATTATTGAGGACTTTGTGAGAATCATTACATTTGTAAAGTTTCCCTACACCATGGATGGCTTGATGGTGAATAAGTGTTGACTTCCCACTAAAGGCTCTGTCACACTCATTACACTTGTAAGGTTTCTCTCCAGTATGAACTCTCTGATGTTGTGCAAGGTGTGCTTTTTGATTAAAAACCTTGCCACATTCATTACACTTGTAAGGTTTCTCTCCAGTATGAACTCTCTGATGTTGTGCAAGGCATGAATCACTCCGGAAAGCCTTGTCACACACCTTACATTTGTATGGTTTTTCTCCAGTGTGAATTCTCTTATGCCTTTCAAGGTGTGATTTGCGACTGAAAACTTTGTCACATTCTTCACATTTGTAAGGTTTCTCTCCAGTATGAATTCTATGATGACGCGCAAGGTGTGCTTTTCTACCAAAAACCTTGCCACATTCATTACATGTGTAAGGTTTCTCTCCAGTATGAAGTGTATGATGACATTGAAGATTTGACTTCTGACTGAAGGTCTTGCCACATTTATTACACTTGTACGGTTTCTCCCCAGTATGAACTCTCTTATGGTGTACAAGGCACGACTTTTTCCAGAAAGCCTTGTCACAAACCTGACATTTGTATGATCTCTCTCCAGTGTGAATTCTCCTATGTGTTTCAAGCTGTGATCTGCGAATGAAAACTTTGTCACATTCCTCACATTTGTAAGGTTTCTCTCCAGTGTGAAGTCTATGATGATGTGCAAAGTTTTGTCTTCTACTAAAAACCTTGCCACATTCATTACATGTGTAAAGTTTCTCTCCAGTATGAAGTCTATGATGACATTGAAGGTACGACTTCTGACGGAAGGTCTTACCACACTCATTACACTTGTAAGGTTTCTCTTCACTATGAATTGCCTTATGAATTACAAGGCCTGAATTTCGACGGAAAGACTTGCCACATTCATTACACTTGTAAGGTTTCTCTCCAGTATGAAGTCTACAATGGCATCTAAGGGATGACTTCTCACTGAACATCTTGCCACACTCATTACACTTGTAAGGTTTCTCTCCAGTATGAAGTCTACGATGGCATGTAAGAGTTGTCTTCTGACTGAAGGTCTTGCCACACTCATTACACTTGTAAGGTTTCTCTCCAGTATGGAGTCTACAATCAGCATATAAGGGATGACTTCAGATGAAGGTCTTGCCGCACTCATTACACTTGTAAAGGTTTCTCTCAGTATGGAATCTACAATGGCATATAAGGGATGACTTCCGACTGAAGGTCTTGCTGCACTCATTACACTTGTAAGGTTTCTCTCAGTGTAAAGTCTACGATGGCATGTAAGGATGACATCTGACTGAAGGTCTTGCCACACTCATAACTTGCCCTTAAGCTTTCTCAGTGTGAACTGTATGATGGCATTGAAGGGATGTCTTCTGATGGAAGGTCTTGCCACACTCATTACACTTGTAAGGTTTCTCTCAAGGTCTTGCCACACTCATTACACTTGTAAGGTTTCTCTCCAGTATGAAGTCTACGATGGCATCTAAGGGATGACTTCCAACTGAATGTCTTGCCACATTCATTACACTTATAAGGTTTCTGTCCAGTATGAAGTCTACGATGGCATGTAAAAGATGATGTTTGACTGAAGACCTTCCCACACTCATTACACTTGTAAGTTTTCTTACCAGTGTGACATCTACGATGACATGCAAGATATCGCTTCTGATTAAAGATCTTGCCACATACATCACATTTATATTGTTTCTCTCTTGAATGGGTTATGTGATGGCTCCTTAAGAGTGAGCTATAATTAAACGCTTTGCCACACCCATTATTTTGGCAAGGTTTTTCTCTCATGCGTACTTCCTGTATTTGTGTGGATAATGAAGAATGGAGGAAATTCTTCCCATACTTATTAGAAATATGGGTTTTGAGTCTACAAGAAATTCTTTGGGGTGTTGAAGCTGAGGAAGCACCACTGACAGACTTGTCCACTTGGTTACTAATTTTCCCTTCGGTCGGAAATATGTGCAGTTCAGGCAGATGTGAATGAAAGCTTGATCCAAGCTGATCTTTAATAGGCTTGTTTCCAGCATGCCTTTGATCATGTCGGTCTGTACTACCCGTCATCTCTTTGGTTTCTGTCATAGGTGCTTCATGGCCATTTCTTTCAACTTCTTGCCACTGAAACTCAGAGTGATGAATATCTTTTTTGATTTCTGGGAAGCAAAAATCTCCAATGGGATGACTTTTATGTCTTTCCAATGTCCCTGTGTAGAACCCTTCTCCTGTATTACTGTGCCCAGTTGATGAGAACTCCATCACGAATTTTAAAAAGCTATCTAAAAAACATAAAGACCAATAGGTTTCCAATTAAGTACAGAGGGTAAATAATAGTTAATATTGAAGTGTGTAAATATTACACAAAAAGCAATACTTAAACTTCCCAAATGTGATCTTCAAAGTTTAGAAACACCCTGTCTCTACTAAAAATACAAAAATTAGTCAGGTGTGGTGGTGGGTGCCTGTAATCCCATCTACTCGGGAGGCTGAGGCAGCAGAACTGCTTGAACCCAGGAGGCAGAGGTGGCAGTGAGTGGAGATCATGACATTGCACTCCAGCCTGGGCAACAAGAGCAAAATTCTGTGTCAAAAAAAAAAAAAAAAAAAAAGAGTTCAGTCAAGAGCCTCATATGTATGAGGCAGTAAGCCTGAATGATGTCCTCCCTAGGAGAAATTTTCTACAGCAGTGACTGCTGCTTAGAGAAAATGATCATTAGTTTATGTGATGAACACTGTCACAGTGCCAGCGAGAGACGCTTCTGTGATCGTTCTCAAAAACCAGAAAGAAAGGCCAAATGTGGTGACTCATGCCTGTAATCCCAACACTTGGAGGCTGAAGCGGGCAAATTGCTTGAGGCCAGGAGTTCAAGACCAGCCTGGCCAACATGGTGATACCCTATGTCTACTAAAAATACAAAAATCGGCCAGGTATGAAGGCATGTGCCTGTAATTCTAGTTAGGTTGAGAGACTGAGGTACAAGAATTGCTTGAACCCAGGAGGCAGAGGTTGCAATAAGCTGAGATCATGACACTGCACTTCAGCCTGTTCAACAGAGGGAGACTCTATCTAAAAACAAACACAGAAAAAGAAAACAAAACCAGAACCACAGCTGGAAACACTTGTCAGTCAGTGTCAGTGTCATGCTTTCTATCTCGTATCCTGGGCCACGTTGACAATTCTGCTCAGGGCTTCCAGGGACATCTCTGCCTACAGCAGGATGATGTTCAATTGTATTAGTCAAAGTGTTCATGAATTTTCTGTTTTTATGTAAAAACAGACAGCTCTAAGAAGCTATCCATGACAGATAGGAGGGTCATCACTGCAGAAAACAATGATATGTACATCAAAAGCATGCACGGGGCAACATCACAAGAGAATACAAAACCAGGAAGAGCCAAGATAGACAAGGACAGATTCCTCATGTCTAGAGGGACATTTTCCTCACCCACAAACTCCAGATTCCTGTAGTTCTCCAACATCACGGCCGTGTATAAAGCCCTCTGCACAGGGTCCAGGCATTTCCACTCCGCCAATGAGAATTCTATAGCCACATCCCTGAAAGTCACGCGTCCCTAAAATGAAAAACACATTTCAACAAAACATGGAGGACTGAGTTATCACCTTCACATGAAATGAGAAAAGAGAAAATAAGTATTGATTTGATCCAAGACTGTGTTCTGACAAATCCACATTAAGGTATTTTTGAAAAATTTTTCTGTATAGTTGCGTTTTATTGTACTTTTTCATGATAGATTTTAAAATCCCCTAAGTCACTGCGGAAGTCTCAGTTTTATGGACAATATAAAAAATATATGGCCTGGCACAGTGGCTCACACCTAAAATCCCTGCACTTTGGGAGGCCGAGGCAGGTGGATCGTCTGAGCTCAGGAGTTTGAGACCACCCAGAGCAACATGGTGAAACTCCGTCTCTACTAAAAATACCAAAAAAAAAAAAAAACAAAAAAAAACCCAGGTGTGGTGGTACACACCTCTAGTCCCAGTTACTTGGAAGGCTGAGGCAGGAGAATAACTTGATAACCAGAGGCAAAGTTTGCAGTGACCCAAGATCATGCCACTGCACTTCAGCTTGGGCTGACTCCATCTCAGAAAAAAATATATATATATATAGATAGATAGATAGATAGATACAGATACACACCATCTATATATACACATATAGATACGTGTGTATGTGTATCTATCTATATATATAATAAATCCAGGCATGTTGGCTCACACCTGTAATCCCATCACTTTGGGAGACTAAGGTGGATGGATCACTTAAGGTCAGGAGTTCGAGACCAACCTCTCCAACACAACGAAACTCCATATCTACTAAAAACTTAAAAACTGGCTGGGAATGGTGGGGGGGTGCCTGTAATCCCAGCGATTCAGGAAGCTGAGGAAAGAAAATTGCTTGAACTCTGGAAGCGGAGGTTGCCCTAAGCCAAGATCACACCACTGCAATCCCGCCTGGGCAACAGTGTGACACTCTTTCTAAACAACAAAAAAAGTATATATATTGCAAATGATGTGTTTTCTACATAAACCCTGGGCTTGGCCGCACGTGGTAGGTCACGCCTGTAATCCCAGCACTTTGGAAGGCTGAGGCAGGTGGATCATAAGGTCAAGAAATGGAGACCATTCTGGCCAACATGGTAAAATCTCGTCTCTACTAAAAATACAAAAATTAGCTGGGCATGGTTGCGTGCCTGTAGTCCCAGCTATTCGGGAGGCTGAGGCAGGAGAAGTGCTTGAACATGAAAGGCAGAGGTTGCAGTGAGCCGAGATCATGCCACTGCACTCCAGCCTAGGCTGGACCATCTCAAAAAAATGAGAGCGACACCAACTCAAAAATAATTTTTTTTTTTTTTAAAAAAGGCCGAGCGCGGTGGCTCATGGCTGTAATCTCAGCACTTTGAAAGGCTGAAATGGGTGGATAACCTGAGGTTGGGAGTTCCAGATCAGCCTGATCAACAGGGACAAATCCTGTCTCTAGTAAAAATACAAAATCAGCTGGGAATGGTGACGCATGCCTATAATCCCAGCTACTTGGGAGACTGAGGCAGGAAAATCACTTGAACCTGGGAGGCGGAAGTTGCAGTGAGCTGAAATCGTGCCACTGCACTCCAGCCTGGGCAACAAGAATGAAACTCCATCTAAAAAAAACAAAAAAACAAAAAAACAAAAAGAAATGAAACAAAACTGTCTAGGACTCACGTGTCTTCATTCAGAGAAAGCTCCAAGGATGATTTAAAAGGCAAGCTATCTTGTTTTCTACCTTAGAAACATGAAAATTTTCAGAACTCGCAGGACAAAATACCATGACAAAACATTCATCAGGCCGGGAGCAGGACTCACACCTGAAGTCCCAGCACTTTGGGAGGCCATGGTGGGAGGATCAATTGAGGCCAAGAGTTCGAGACCAGCCTGGCCAACAGGGGAAACCCCATCTGTACTAATAATACAGCAATTAGCCAGGAGTGTAGCATGCGTCTGTAACTGCAGCTACTCAGTTGGCTGAAGCCTAAGACTCATTTGAACCTGAGAGCCAGAGGTTGCAATGTGCCACTGTACTCCAGGCAGATGACAGAGTGAGACCCTGTCTCAAAAAACATGCAAAAAAAAAAAAAAAAAAAACATCAAATAATTTTTTGTAAAGTCTCATAACGATGTATGAATACACTAAAGGATGGCACTGACTTGTCACAGAACCTTCAACAGTGATTCCCCATTGAGCCATGGGGACGGGTGGAAGGTTGGACAGGATAGGGGATGCATAAGTGCACTTTTCTTTGGACTTTTACTACACAACACATATATACAGTGTGTGGTGGTTAAAATAAAAGAATCATTTAATAATAATGGGTAGAAAAAGAATAGCTCCATCCTCTCTAACGACATACGTTGTGCTCTTATGTCAGAGCAAACTTACAATCATTTTTACCTCAAATGCTTGCTTCATCAGAGTCCGTGCAAAAAAACCCACAAAAAACAAAAAACAAAAAAAAAAAAACAGTCTCTGTGGGGTCAAAGTGCTAAGAATGATTTAAAGAATCCCCTGCATTTAGATATTTACATTGATTTTATAATTTGAAGTCAATGACGGAATAAAGCTAACTCTGTCACCGACACCTATCTCCACTTTCGATTCTATTCCAAGCCATTGAAAGTGCAGAGTCCTGCTGGGCTTTCTCACACCTATAATCCCAGCAATTTGGGAGGCTCAGGTGGGAGGATCATTTGAGGCCAGGAGTTCAAGGCTATAGTGAGCTATGACTTGCCACTGCACTCCAGCCTAGACAACATAGCAAGTCCCCAACTCTAAATCATAAAAAATAAAAGAATTAGCCATGCATGGTGGCACATGCCTGTCATCCTAGCTCCTTGGGAGTCTAATGTGGGGATCACTTGAGCCCAGGAATTCGAGGCTGCTGTGAACTAGAATTGTGCCATTGCACTCCAGACTAGGCCCGAGAGTGACACCCTGTCTCCTAAAACAAAAAGTTTGGAGTCAGAGACATATTGACTCACTAGTGTAGCTTCAAATGCATTACAAAATCAGACACAAAATATCTCCCCTAGTTTGCCTCCTTTTCCAGAATTTACCAGATACTAGCGCACATTAATGTATGATTTTCATATACAGTTTCTCTTATCTGGTCCAGAAAGAGCTAAATGTGGCCACTGAACAATTCCTGCTGCCCAACATTACTGACAGCACGGGACCCTCACCCCGTCTCCATCCATGTCTGGTGTGAGCCCTTCCCAGGACCATGCCCAGGGGAGCCTCTTCCCAAGCTCATTCACTAGGTTATAGGAGATGGAATTTAAGTGAAGATGACAAGGACTGAGAAAAGTCTTGGGTGAGTGCGAGCAAACGTGTGAGGCAGGATGCTTCAGACTCAGAGAAGACTGGCTACTACAATACCTGGCATTTCAGAAAGGAAAGAGACAGCAGAATCCACCGAGGAATATCACTCACCTGAGGAAGAGCCATCCCTGGATCTTTTTCTTTGCTCTTCTTGGTGGCTTCCTCATGTAACAGGAGTCTTTGGAAATCCTGTGTGTGAAAAAACATCAGAGATTTAATATTTAGAAACCATACACTCCTTTCCTGTGACAAAACTCACACACAGGGGAGACCTCACCCGAGAGAAAGATGGTCCTCTGCTGCCCACTGCACCAGAGATCATGCAGAGATAAGAACGTCCCACAGCAAGACCTACAAGGTCAATTTTGACCCGTTTTCAGATCTTGTTGCCCTCCTGGAAAAGTTCACACACACACACACTGTAGCAGGGCACAGATCTTCAGGCCACAGATCTGGCCCTAACCAAACCTCACACAGAGCGCAGCCCCCTCCCCTCCCTGTGGATCACAGGCTGATCTCAGCTGTCAACATGGAGGAAACTGCCTTGATGTTTAATGCTGGACACAGACGAGGACCACCAGCGCCACTGTAAGTATTATTGAGTGTGGGTCCCATCCTATGACAATAGCAATCTTTGATAAAACAGCATACCTGAAATCCCAGCACTTCGGGAGGCCGATGAGACTGGATCCTTTGAGCCCTGGGGTTGGAGACCAGCCTGAGCAACATGGTGAACGCCCATCTCTACCAAGAACACAAAAATCAGTGTGGTGTGGTGGCGCGCGGCTGTGGTCCCAGCTATTCTGGAGGCTGAGGTAGGAAGGAGACCACCACTTCTCCTGCTGCCCTCCTCCCTCCCCCTTGCCTCGTTCACAAGACAGGAGAAAAGGGAGAAAGCAAAAAGTTAGAAACAGAAGATAGCCAGATGGCCTTGGCGCCACCACCCAGCCCTGGCGGTTAAAAATAAAAATAATAATGTCAACCCCTGACCTAAACCACTTATGTTATATGTAAATTCCAGACATTGTATCAAGAAGCATTGCAAAACTTTCTGTTCTGTTAGCTGATGCATGTAGTCCCTAGTCATGTACCCCACTTGCTTGATCTATCATGACCCTTTCATGTGGACCCCTTAGAGTTGCAAGCCCTTAAAAGCACCAGGAATTGGCTGAGCACAGTGGCTCATGCCTGTAATCCCAGCACTTTGGGAGGCCAAGCTGGGCGGATCACGAGATCAGGAGATCGAGACCATCCTGGCTACATGGTGAAACCCCGTCTCTACTAAAAATACAAAAAATTAGCCGGGTGCAGTGGTGGGTGCCTGTAGTCCCAGCTACTTGGGAGGCTGAGGCAGGAGAATGGCGTGAACCTGGGAGGCGGAGCTTTCAGTGAGCCGAGATTGTGCCACTGCACTCCAGCCTGAGCGACAGAGCAAGACTCCATCTCAAAAAAACAAAAACAAAAACAAGCCAGGAATTTCTTTTTCGGGGAGCTTGGTTCTTGAGACAGGAGTCCAACGATGCTCCTGGCTCTGAATAAAGCCACTTCCTTCTTTAACCCGGTGTCTGAGGGGTTTTGTCTGCAGCTCGTCCTGCTACATTTCTTGGTTCTATGACTGGGAAATGAGGTGATTAATGGATGGTTGAGGCAGCCCCTTAGGTGGCTTAGGCCTGCCCTGTGGAGCATCCCTGCAGGGGACTCTGACCAGCTTGAGCAATGCGCATCCTGAGAGCACTCCCAGGTAAGCATTTGCCCCAGTGGAACACCTCATCAGAGTGGTGCATGGCAGACCCCCACCTTATCTGACAAAGCCTTTTACACCGTATGTTTCCGAGAGAGAAAAGATGGCAGGTAAAGTTTTGATCCAAACTGTGGGGCCCTGGCTGAGGCCAGTGGCCTAGCCCTCTAAACAACTAGACGGGGTTTCTAAAGGTTAGTCCCCGTGTTTGAGGGCCTTGGCAGCAACTGCCCTGCTAGCACAAGAAGCACAAAAACTAACTCTTAGGCAAAACCTGAACATAAAGGCCCCCCATGCTGTGGTGACTTTAATGACTACCAAAGGACATCATCGGCTAACGAATGCTACAGTAACGAAGTACCAAAGCTTGCTCTGTGAAAATCCCTGCATAACCACAGAAGTTTGTAACACCCTGAACCCCCGCCACCCTGCTCCCGGTATCAGAGAGCCCTGTTGAGCATAACTGTGTAGAGGTGTTGGACTCAGTTTACTCTAGCAGGCCTGACCTCCGGGACCAGCTTTGGGCATCAGTAGACTGGGAGCCATACATGGACAGGAGCAGCTTCATCAACCCACAAGGAGACAGATGTGCAGGATATGCGGTGGTAACCCTGGACACTGCCGTTGACACCAGATCATTGCCCCAGGGCACCTCAGCCCAGAAAGCCGAGCTCTTTGCTTTAATTCAGGCCTTAGAACTCAGTGAAGGTAAGACTGAAAACATTTACACTGACTCTCAGTATGCCTTTTTTTTTTTTTTTTTTCGAGACAGAGTCTTGCTCCATTGCCGAGGCTGGAGTGCACTACAGGTGCCCGCGACCATGCCTGGCTAATTTTTTGTATTTTTAGTAGAGACGGGGTTTCACCGTGTTAGACAGGATGGTCTCGATCTCCTGATGTAGTGATCCGCCGACCTCGGCCTCCCAAAGTGCTGGGATTACAGGCGTGAGCCACTATGCCTGGCCTTCGGTATGCCTTTTTAACCCTCCAAGTGCATGGAGCATTATATAAAGAAAAGGGCCTGTTGAACTCTGGAGAAAAAGACATGAAATATCAGCAAGAAATCTTGCAATTAGAAGCAGTATAGAAACCCCACAAGGAGGCAGTCATGCACTGCAGAGGACACCAGCGAGCTTCCACCTCGGTTGCCTTAGGGAACTCCAGAGCTGACTCAGAAGCTCTAAAAGCAACATTCACCCCTACTGGGCATCAGTCTCAGCGCCCCCTGCTCCCTCAAGCACCTGACCTTGTATCTACTTATTCTAAATAAGAAAAAGGCTTTCTCCAGGCAGAGGGAGGACAGGTGATGGAAGAAGGAAGGACTCGGCTACCAAATAGGAGAGTAGCTGTGCCACAGCTGCTAGGAGCCGCAGTTGTACTGGGGGTGCATGAAACCACCCATCTAGGTCAGGAGCCACTTGAAAAGTTGGTAGGCTGGTACTTCTACATCTAGCATTTGTCAGCTCTTGCCAAAACCATGGCGAGCGGTGTGTTACCTGCTGACAGCACCATGCGAGGCAGGGTTCAGCCATTCTGCCGGCATGGAATGGAAAGCAGCCCCCTTTGAAGATCTCCAGGTGGACTTCCCAGAAATGCCAAAGTGTAGAAGTAACAAGTATTTACTAGTTCCCGTGTGTACCTACTCTAGGTAGGTGGAGGCTTTTCCCACACGAACTGAGAACGCTTGAGAAGTAACCCGTGTGCTTCTTCGAGATCTTATTCCTAGATTTGGACTGACCTTATGCATCAGCTCAGATAACAGGCCAGCGTTTGTGGCTGACTTAGTACAGAAGACAGTAAAGGTATTAAAGATCACATGGAAACTGCATGCTGCCTACCAACCTCAGAGTTCTGGAAAGGTGGAGCGGATAAATCGGACTATCAAAAATAGCTTAAGGAAAGTGTGTCAGGAAACAGGATTAAAACACATACAGGCTCTCCCTATGGTATTAAGATTAGACGTACTCCAAGAGAACAGGATATTCCCCTTATGAAATATTATATCATAGACCCCCTCCCATACTACGGGGACTCCCAGGCACTCCCCGAGAGTTAGGTGAAATTGAGTTACAGAGACAGCTACAGGCCTTAGGAAAAATTACACAAACGATTTCAGCCTAGGTAAATGAGAGATGCCCCGTTATTCTCCCCAGTTCACTCTTTCCCGAGGTGATCGAGTGTGGATCAAGGACTGGAATGTAGCCCCTTTGCACCTACAGTGGAAAGGACCCCAGACCGTCATCCTGACCACACCCACTGCCGTGAAGGTAGAAGGAATCCCAGCCTGGATCCACCACTGCTGTGTAAAACCTGCACCTGAAACCTGGGAGGCAAGACCAAGCCCACATAACCCCTGAAAGTGACCCTGAAGAAGACGACAAGCCCTGCTCCAGTCACACCTGGAAGCTGACTGGTCTACACACGGCTGGAGCATGAGGAGGCTCATCACGGGACTCATTTTTCTTAAATTTTAGACTTGCACAGTAAAGGCTTCAACTGACCTTCCTCAAACTAAGGACTGTTCCCAGTGTATTCATCAGGTCACTGAGCTAGGCCAGCAAATTAAAACAATCTTTCTGTTCTATAGTTATTACGAATGTACAGGAATGTTAAAAGGAACTTATTTGTACAATGCCACTCAGTACAAGGTATGTAGCCCAGGAAATGACCAACCTGATATGCATTATAACCCATCAAGCCTGCTGCAACCACCGTTTTTCAAATAAGATTAAGAACTGGTCCTTTCCTAGGTGATACAAGTAAAATAATAACTAGAACAGAAGAAAAAAGAATCCCCAAAGAAGAAACTTTAAATGTGATGCTTGTGCAGCCATTAATAGTAACAAGCTCAGATTAAGATGTGGATCTTTTAACTAAGGAAGGAGCCACACAGTAGAAATAAACACGTTTGTCATGAGGCAGAGGTCTGTGAAAATTGTGCCTATTGGCCATGTGTTATTTAGGCTACTTAGAAAAGGACAAAAAAGACCCAGTTGACGTTCAAAAAGAAGCCAACCCCTCCTGTGCTACCGGTCACTGTAACCCACTAGAACTAATAAGCACGAATCTCCTACACTCCCATTAGAAAAAAAGAGAACGTGTAACCCCGAGGATCAACAGGACAAGGCTAAACCCCCAAGCTGCCATTTTAGTCCGAGGGGAGGTCCACATGCGCTCTCCCAACCCAGTGTTTCAAGCCTTTTATAATGAGCTAAATCTGCCAGCACCAGAGCTTCCAAAAAAAGACAAGGAACTTGTTTCTCCAGTTAGCAGAAAATGTAGCTCATTCCCTCACTGTTACTTCTTGTTATGTATGTGGAGGAGCCACAGTCAGAGACCGATGGCCTTAGGAAGCCCGAGAGTTGGTGCCCACTGATCCAGTTCCTGACACAATTCCAGTTCAGAAAGCCCAAGCTAGCAACTTCTAGGTCCTATAAACCTCAATTATTAGACAGTACTATGTAGCTAAGGAAAGAAAAAACTTCACCATCCCTGTAAGAAAGCTCAATTGTCTAGGACAGAAGTTGTACAACAGCACAAGGACAGTCACTTGGTGAGGCCTAAACCGTACTGAAAAGGATCCATTAAGTAAATTTTCTAAATTACAGACTGCCTGGGCTCATCCAGAATTTCACTGAGACTGGACGGCCCCCGCTGGACCATACTGGATATATAGGCACAGAGACCATCTCCAATAACAAAGAAGAAAAGGAAACACCTGGGTCCTGGCTCTGGGAATCTAAGGCCAATTAACGTAAACTTTGCAAAACTAGACCAAAGGTAAAAACCCCGTCTCCCCACCCGGAGTAACAAAGGAACAAAGGGTACTCTCCTGTAGCCCTTCCATTTCCACCACGGCTCAGATGGAAAGGGAGAGAGCCCAGGAGTGGCCACGGCCAAGCACGGCCACCCCTCCATCTGCACAGGGCACCCATCTGCTCCGGCCTCAGGCCAATTCACCTCAGCATTTCATTGACCAAGGGCCAGATCCTTCATCCAGATAAGGGGTAGCCCGTAGGGACCTCAAAATAAATATTTTAATCCCCCCAAAACGTTGTAAACGGTGCCCTGGAGACGCTCGCTCGGGCCCACTCCCACCCTGTGGAGTGCTTTTCTGACCCCCGGCACTGGGGCTGCAGCGCTGCGCTCCAGGGGCCAAGGAGAGCGAGACTGGGGGGCGCTCTGCAGCAGGGTGAGAACCCAGGTCGCGGGTGAGGACTCGAAACAGCGCGAGGCGGGAGGACGAGTCAGGAACGGTTTTGCAAAGGAAAGTTTCGCGACAGGAGGTGTCTGCACAGCCCCATTGCAGAAAGACCGGGGACAGGACCAGCCTCAGGGCGACTTTAAACTCAAAAGGAGGCGACTCACCGACTCTCACCCGGACGTCTCAATTTGCTCTGGGTTGAGAAACAGGAGTCGGTCTGTGGGGACCCCACGTCGCGGGTATAGCAGCGCCAAGAGAACTGGCAAGCGCAGACGCGATGGTTCAACCTTCAGACCACGCCATCCGCTTCCGGGTCTGTGCCAATCAGCGCAGGACCGAAGCCAAACCTGGGCTAGTCCCGCGAAGAGGTGGGCGGGGCCTGGGCGAGGCCGCGAAGGGACGCGAGGAGGTGGGCGGGGCACAAATAGACTGAGGCCTGACTTCATGGAGGAGACCGTTAGCAATGTGGATGTAACTATTATAGAGCAGCTGGCTAACGATCAGCCCGTAGAGCTGCCAGTGAGCCTTCAGGTCGACTTTCTTTCCGTATATCTTGGAGAAGAGGAAGACAATTTCTCTGCCAGTAGCTGGTGGTCTCCCACTCTCTCTTAGAAAAATGGAGGTCTGAATTCTGCCTAATAGATAACCCTTCTCTCTCTGCATTGCTCAAAGCATTCGTTCTATCTGTGGATGGTAGGTAGATCCAAGAAAAGTTCCAAATAGAGGATTTCCATTATGGAGATTATGAAGACAGTGCAAGACACGGGCAAGAGAACAAAGTCCCACAATAATTTTTATTTCTTACCTTCGCTGGGCCAACCTCTTTGTTAAGGCTGATACAGAGAGCAATGAAGTGTCTTTGCCTTTAATCACACGTGAAAGATCAAGCTCTGGTCACAGGGAGCAGAATTCTGTATGATGAAACATCACGCTCCTGAGACTCTGACGTTTTGTGCCCTTTCTCAGCAGACAACCACTGACTGAAAAATCAATTTAGGATCACAAACAGAAAGGTCTACTTTATTTGAATTTCTCAAAGAAAGTAAAATAGAAAATATTCTATCCACTTTAAAAATGAATAATACAGCAGGACATGGTGGCTTACGCCTGTAATCAGAGCACTTTGTGAGGCTGAGGAGGGCAGGTCATGGGAGCCCAGGAGTTTAAGATGAGGCTGAGTAACACGGCAAGACCCAGTACCTACAAAAAGTTTTAAAAATTATCTGGGCATAGTGGCACGTGCCTGTAGTCCCAGCTATTCAGGAGGCTGAGGCGGGAGGATTACTGGAGCCCGGGAGGTTGAGACGGCAATGAGCTCTGGTCATAACACTGCACTACAGCCTGGGTGACAGAGCAAAACCTTGCCTCCCTCCAAAAAAATAAATAATAGGAAAAAACCATATGACCCAACTACATGCCGTGTATACGAGGCTCACTTTAGATTCTCAAACACAAGTGGATTAAAAGTGAAGATGAAAAAATATGTTTCATACTGATAGTGTAACTCTTAGTCTGAGGTTGAAGGCCTGAGAAACCAGGAGGCCAATGGTGCAAGTCTCAGAGTCCAAAGGCTGGAACACCTGAAGTTATGATGTCCAAGAGCATCACAGGAAGGGTGTCCTAGTACTAGGAGAGAAAGAGGAAGAATTTGCCAGTCATCTACTTTTTTGTTCCATCAGACCCTCAGGCAACTGGATGGTGCCCACCCACACTGAGGCTGGATCTTCCCCGCTTCAGGCCACTGACTCATACACCCATCTTCGGGGGGACACCCTCACAGACATACCCAGAAACAATGCTTTTAGCATCTAGGTATCCCTCAATGTAGTTGAGGTGACACCTAAAGTTAGCCATTGAAGGAATCTCCCTGACATGAGATAAATGAACTTTGATCAGTAGCTCCAAGTAGAGCATGGAGGGGTTATCACTACATCAGAAACAGGCACCAGCAAGATTACAGTCCAAAGAAGAGTTTGGACTTCAAATCAGGAGACACAGCAGCAGCAGCTCACAGTCCCAAATAGGCCTGTCCTTAAGCTTTCAATCTATAGTTTTCCAAGTGGCAAGTTAAATATGTTTAACATGGCCATTAACCTCAGATACTGGAGTCTCAGCACTGAGTAAAGCACTTTTGTCTGCTTTCAGTTTTGTGTAGCTGGGACTGAGGTTAACCATCCATACTAGCCCAGTTGACAACATTGTGATATAGCTCAGCTGAACTGTCGGTGAACCAAAGCCAGGCATTTAGGGGAATGTCAGAGAATTCAGGGCCCCTAGTGCTTAGGCACCACGCCCAGGAGATTCCAATGTGCAACCAAATTCAGGGTTAGTTTATTTTCGTGCTTATCCCACTTTCACCCACCTGTGAAACACCTGGGGTTGTTATTCAGCTGCAGATACTGATTCCGCAGGGGCAGCCTGTGCCTGAGGGTCTGTGTTTTTCAGAAGCTACAGGTCTGCGGGTGACACTCTGGGCACCCAGTCCTCTTTGCTCAAGTAAATGAAACACGATGATTGAAATGTAAGGAAATTGGCCTGAGGTGAAAAGGAAAACTCAAAACACCTGTAAGACATGTCATAGTGCAACGAATTTTATTCAGATGGAAAGAAATTAACCAAACAGAATTTTACAATGACTTTTAATAACAACAGTTCCAAGGCTAGTAGAATACATCCTTAGAAGTGAAATTCATTAAAAAACTTGAAGTTACTCTATTGACTACTTGCGGCATAATAATAATAATAGTAAGATACATTTTATCATGTGCCATTCGTGACATGCTTTGCATAAGTTATTGAATCCACTGAATCACTCCAACATTGAGAATATTGGTACCTCAACTTTACACGTGCACTAGCTGAGATGCCCTCCCTATCACAGTGGAAATCAGAGTCTAGGTAGCTTCATAAAACAAATGGAGTATTTCCCTTGTCTGATATCCTGGAAAAATGTATACGGTATAAAAAAGAACAGTTTCTTAAATGTTTGAATTCAGTGATTTTAAAAAAACCACATTCTTCCAAGAAAAAAAATTCCCCATTTTTCCAAGGCTAAGCGTTTCTCACTACAACTCTCCTTCACAGTCAAATATTCTTAAGTCAGTAGATACTGAGGTTTTCCACTACCATCGAAGGGCCCTTTGCCCAGAATTACTCAAATCTCGGTCGTTGGCTCCCTCCCTCAGATGCGTTTCAAAGCTTTCTATTGACACTAGTGGAACATTGTTTGCTTATGTTGACTCAGTTTCTCACATAATTATATGTAATTGAAAAAGAAACGTATAGGACACTTTCATAAGCCCCATTTTAATGCAGGTTAAATTTACATAATGTAAATAGGCAGGGTTCCTTGATCCCCGATAGTATCTGGGGTCCACGTTTGAACAGGCACCGCCGCCAGGGAAGCGCTGAGCCCACACAGGGCTGCTTCCTGCCTCTCCGCTTCTCAGCCTTTCAGCCACTTCCAAGTCACATGCACTTGAAGCCGGGTCTTCTTGCCTTGGGGGCCTCAGTCACTGTCACTGTCCTCAGAGGAGGAAGTGACCCGAAGGTCCTCATAGAGGACACTCCTTGAGACCTGGGGACACCGGTCCTCAGGCTCCCTTGAGACGTGAGGGCTCTGAGCAGAAGCAGAGTTCTCAGGAGGGTGGGATGTGGGAGACGTTCTGAACCTGGGGCTCTCCTGTCCCTTGTCCCCTCTCATGAAGGTGACACTGCCCGGCCTCCCTGGAACGTGAATGGGTGGTCCAGGCTGGAGGACGGGGCAGCCCTGGGCTGGGCCCAGGAAAGGTGAGCTGGGTAGGGGCTGGAGGTTGACTCTGGGCTGCAGGGTTGCTGTCTTGGTGGCTGCTGTCTCTGTGGTCGGCTTGGGTGCCTGTCTGGATCCAAGTCCAGTTGCCGTGAAGGGAGGCTGGAGTGTCCGCACGGTGCCCACATCCGGGAACTGAGTTCTCAGTGCGGGGGTTGGGAAGGAGCTGAGTCTTGCTTTCTTTGTGGGGTTCTGGACGGTCTGGGTGGGGATGGCGGCAGGCTGCTTTCCTGGCGTCTGGGTTCTGGAGTCCTGGCCACACTTTCGTCTGACTTGCTGTGGTCTGGGCTTTGCGTCTGCATTGGGACATTTGATTTCTGCCTGGGATTTCAGGCCGGGACCCAGCGCAGACGCCTTCATGGCAGGCTGGGGGGCACCGTGGGAGGACACATCAGGCCTGTTGACTGGCGGCCTGGCACTGAGAATGTGGTTCTGGTGGGAGCTCTTCAGAACAGGGAGCAGGGAGGCAGTAATGTCCCTGCCATGTCCCTTGGTGGGTCCACAGATGCTCAGTTCAGCTCGATCATTGTGATCCGAAGGGCAGAGTAATCTCATCCCAGGTATGTAGACAGGTGGTGGACCTGTGGACACAGGGCCCAGGGCACATCTCTTCTTGGTGGTGTGGACAGGCAGAGGCACGGTAGGATGCTGCAGGAGAAAACACTCCACATGAGACAGCTCAGCAGTAGAATTTCCAAACTCTATGAAGCAGGGAACTCACATGGAAAACCACATCACAACAGAAGCTGTGTGAATACAAGAAGCAAGCTAGGACAGGCTGATATGAGAAACAGAGGAGAATAACATGCACTGGGAGTGCGTCTAAATCAGGATCAAATATAGGGAAGACCCTACAAAAGAGATAGGACGTAGGAAATTAAATGTCACAGAAAAGGATGTACACATGGTCACTGAATATATGCAGAATTGTCACTTCAGGAATAGTGTTGGGGAAAGATGGCCTACCATTCTGTTTGCTGTGACTATCACATATGAAAATTAAAACTGTCTTTATGTTGTCTGTTGTTAATATCAAGGGAATATCAATTCCCCCACACAACGTGGAGACTGGAAATGGCACAGCTCCTTTTGAAAGCAGATGTAAGAACATGTATAAAAATGAAGGAGATGCCTTATCTGCAGCCTGTACCCCGAAGACATCTGATCAGTCACTCCCCACAGGCACTGAAATGCGCCCAGCAGCATCTGCTGGCCAACTTGTAAATAAAGGCACAGAAACCAACTTTCAAACAAAGAAGCTGAGGCTGGGCGCGGTGGCTCACACCTGTAATCCCCGCACTTTGGGAGGCCGAGATGGGCGGATCACAAGGTCAGAAGATGGAGACCATCCTGGCTAACATGGTGAAACCCCGTCTCTACTAAAAATACAAAAAATTAGCCAGGGGTGGTGGCTCATGCCTGTAGTCCCAGCTACTTCGAAGACTGAGGCAGCAGAATGGCGTGAACCCGGGAGGCGGAGCTTGCAGTGAGCTGAGATGGTGCCACTACACTCCAGCCTGGGCGACAGAGCGAGACTCCATCTCAAAAAAAAACAAAACAAAAAAAAAGAAGAAGCTGGAAACGAGTATGCGAAGTCCTCGGGTAGTGCAGTTCTCCTGCAGGGCAGCCCACGTTTAAACATGATCCCCACCCGTGAGGGGCACAGAAGTGAAGGAATCAGGGGACCCAGAGGAGAAACAGAGGAGGGGCTGGGGAATACTCACCCTCAGGAAGAAACAGGCTTCCACTGGCTCCTTCCAGGCTCCCTCTATTTTCTCTTGGGGACTCCTGGGAAATGTCTGCGTCAGAGCTTTGCTCTGCTGTTGCTGGGGCCTGTGGAGGAAATCACGTTCACTGTCTGGACCCGCCTGATCCTCCTGCCCACACCAGTGACTGGGAACCAAGCACCCTCCCAGAACCCAGCCCAGCCCTTGCTTTGGGTGAGGGAGACATTCAGGCCTCTATGAACTTTGCCAAGACAGCCCCTTCTCTCATCTCAGAAGTAGCCCCACTTACAGGAAGCTCCCCCTACTTGCCCGGCCATGGCCCCAGGTCCCTAAGTTCATTCAGACCCTGGTGCTGCTCTGCCTACCACGGGCAACATCCTCAGGTCTCCCACAGCCCCTGCCCTCTAGAGACTCTCAGCGCTGGAATAAGCTCGGAGTGTGGACCCTGGGAGGCAGTGGCCCCCGCACACCTGCATTTGGAGCTTTCCTGTGTGTGCCTAGAGAAGACTCTGCAGAAAGAGTAGGGGAGACACAGCTCCTGAGGCGCTGACCTCACGAATAGTCCTTGACCCTGCAAAATCCTTACCTTAGACCTTGCTCCTCTTTTCTGTCATTCCTCATAAAGGGCCCTGGAGCCTGGGGTAGCCGGGGCTTTGCTGGTTGCAGGTTCTCCTTCTCCTTGTGTGAGCCCAGGGGCTGCAGAGGAAGGGCCCCACTCCACCTCTTAATGGGGCAGGTCTTGCTCCTGGCGGAGTGCCCAAAGGCCCCGCAGTTGTTGCATTTCATCTGCAGGTGGAGGAGGACAGAGAGCAGCGAGTCAACAGCAATCACAGGCACCTGCGAAGGTTCACGCAAGACCTGGGGGTTGGAGGTGGATTATTTTAGGAGGGGGACATAGGCCCATGGGCTGTTGGTTGCCAGGAAACTCAAGATATTATCGTCCTCCCCAGAGCCCATTTAACAGGGATCCCAGGAGGAAGGACGCGCGTGTCTGAGAGTGAAGATAATGAACCAGTGTTGAGGACTCGGCAAACACCAGGCTGGACGTGACACTGGACAGAGAATGAGGCTGCGCCTCAGAGACTCCGAATGGGCCAGTCTGCCAGGGAGGAGAGCACTGACCTGTCGGCCTGAGTCCAGTGGGAACCCCCAAGTCATAAACACGGTTCCCGTGTTCAAGCCCACACTCTGGTGTCCACTGGTTACCAACATTTTCAAGCCCCCACTGACCCTGGACTCCTCCTCCTCTGCTGGGGGAGTCCTCTGCCCCACGGGTCTCCTCTGCTGCTTCTGTGGGTTCTTGACTGTGGGGAGCCTCTGAGCCTGGTGACGGACAGGATGACCTGCCATCTGTAGCAGGTCCTTGAGCTTCTGATCAGTCCTCTTTATTAATTGATTGTTGGATTTCCTAATCATAAGAGAGAAAACATTACACAGACACCAGACAAAAGTCCCTCCTACCCTTATTTACCCAAGTGGGGATGGAGGGACGCACTGGCCACTGAGTCACGCCCACTGTAACTTGGTCCTCTCTGAACCCAGGTGCCAGTTGTGCTATTTTGTGACTCTCTCCCAGCCTGGCCTACTCCCAGAACAGGACACAGATTTTATAAACCAAAAGCTGCTTGATTTCTAGAGGGAGAAGTGAGATTTGCAGCCTTGCATAAAAGTTTTCTGGGCTCTGAGTTTGTGTGCAGTCAGTGCCTCAGAGCTGAAACCCTCTGACAATATTAATCAAAGCCAAGAGATGAATAGCTAACAATTAGTGATTTTTATTCCAGCTAGTTCCAGAAAACCCGCTATTTTCATAGAATAGCTTCTCACTCAGAAAACCAACCAGAAGCTCAAAGCTTTGCAAAGCTTTCATATTCAACCTATGGACACTCGTGACGTTCACATGAGACCCCTGTGACCCCATGCCACTCTTCACACAGAGGCAGGCACAAAGCCAAGCCAGGACCAGCCCTCTGAGGATCCTGCGACGCTGACACGTATGTGCATATTCACGCCAGGCATCGCACACATCACAGCCCATGTCATGGGGGGACATGCAAGATGGAAGCCCCCAGGTATGTTCAGCAGAAACCTTGAGCCCACACTGTGCTTGGGGAGTCCCCCAGGCCATCCCATCCTTACTCCCTAATACTTGTCTTACCTCTCCTCTTGGTATCCACATCTTTGTGAAATTGTAGGGGGCCGGCCCACTAAAGCCTGACATTTTTCATTCGAGACACAGCGGACGGTTGGATCCTCTCCTGGCTTCAGAGGAAATCGCAGAAGAACCTCCACAGAGGCAAGAACAACCCATTTCTCTGTCATCAAGTCAATCTAATGCCGAGAAAGGAGAATGGAGAGGCAACCTGAGTTCTGCAGGCAGGAGGAAGGCTTGGCAGAGGAGAGGAGGAACTCCCAACTGCCTCAGATTTTAAAGGGAATGCTGGACAGTCTCATATTTCTTGGTTTCTTTTTTTTAAGAAGTCATTATATGAAAAAGATACTTGTACGTGCATGTTTACAGCAGCACAATTCGCAATTGCAAAAATACGGAACCAGCCCAAATACCCATCAATCAACTGTTGGATAAAGGAACTGTGATGTGTATACACACACGACAGAATACTACTCAGCCATAAAAGGAAGAAATTAAAGGCGTTCACAGCCACCTGGATGGGATTGGAGACTATATTCTCTGTGAATAAGTCAGGAATGCAAAACCAAACTCCTTATGTTCTCACGCATGTGCGGGAGCTAAGCTATGAGGACGCAAAGGCCATCTCACAGTTTTTTACTCCAGAGCCGGTGAGGAGTTTGCTGGTGACTTTCAAGTGGCACCGAGAGTGACAGCCCAGGGTACCGGGAAGAGCTGCTGTTCCCAGGTGGGAACTAAGGGGTGGTGGCATTGGCATTTTCCCCGAGAGGAATTACAAATCGATTTTAACGGGTCAGTGCCCGTGTATGGAGGTTGTGAAACCCTGACTATGACCTGATCCTGGGCGGGGAGCCTGCTTCAGCCGTCCCCCTAGGCTTGGACTCCCCCCATTCCACCTGCCTCCCAGGTGGCCCCGCAGCTCCCGCACTCACATCTCTTTGTGGGATCCCACACTGCTTTAAGAACTGCTTCCCCCGTTCCATGGAGAGAGTGTTGGGGTCCATCACTGCTGGTCCTGCCCGAGGGATTCTGTTTCCCTGTGGAGGGAAGAAAACAAGACGCTGATTCTTTCCTATCCCTGGAATCTCCCAGGGGCAGGATGCAGTCAGCCTTATCTCTCTGCTGTGCCCACCGTGTCCCTAGGAGTAAACACACCTTCTGTCATTCAAACTACGGGGATGCAACCTTCCTCTGCCAGTGACATGACACCAATATGAATGAGAAAAGCAGGTGATCTATCAAAAGAACTGTTCGCTGTACTTAGCATGTTTGATATGTATGCAACGCAGGTCCCTCCTCTAGGGACCCTCATGGTATACCATCAAACATCTGGAAAAAATTGATCATGGAATTGGCCTCAAAGAAAATTTAATATATTAGAAAACTGGATATCTTATCAATCTGTAGTCCCTGTTCGTCAAAATTAGATATACCTACATTTTATAAATTATAAGGATGTTTTAAACTATGAAGCACATTGTCTGAAACTTCTGCGATCAAAGTCCTTAAGATCAAATAAGATATTCAAGTGGAAATCAGAAAGTGCAAAGAAAATACAGGTAAAGCCCTTTCATGTCCAAACTGATGAGCAGTGGAAAACCTGGGTTCAGGGGAAATGTCTTTGTCTAAATGACCACAGTGCTAGGGCAACAGAAGCAGAGGAGAGTGAGGGCGACACCATTTAGAAATCAACTCCATCTGAAAACTAGCAAGGCACAGTCCTGGCCAGTCACCACCCAGGTCCTAAGACGTTTGCAGCTGAGGAAGCAGCATAGCAATGCTTGCAAAACAGACTCCTGTGAAAGCAAAATGTCCAGATGCCCCATATCCAAAGTTAGATGCCTTCAAGATAATGATAGCTATGCTTTCCTGACCTACACACTAGAATGTCAAGGAGGGTTTTCTTTAAATCAACAGAATACTAAACGTTGTCATGCTGTCAGCCCACTGCATGTAGACATGGCTTAGTTAAATCTTCACATGGAAAAGACCTCTATCTCAGAACAACTTAAAAAAAAAAGACGGTGCATTTCCGGTCACATTCTGAGGTCGTCATGTAGTAGCTTTCAGTAAACTCCTCTCTCTCCTCACTGTTCTCTGCAACTTGTAAGGAATTTCTTCCTGTGTGAGAACAAAGAACCCTCTCCTGGGGTCTCAATCGGGCCTTTTTTTTTTTTTTTTTGTCACAACATGATTGAAAAAAGGTAAAATTTGGGGGAAGTGCTCAGGTCTATAGAGACAGAACAACATGAGATTACAAAAATGAAAAGATGGAAATGGTCAATCAAACAATAAGTTGGAGCAGATGAAAAAATAAATAGAATACGACAGGAAAACGTGCTCTTTATTTGAAAGCAGTAGTAGGATACATTACCACGGGTTACCACAGAAAGATAATAAAATTCATCTTCATAGATCGTATTGGAAAAAGAGAAGACAATACTGCCATGAAAATACAAAAAAAAAAAAGTGATCAGGGAATGCTACATTGGGGGCAAACACATTCGAAAATCTAGAATAAAATGTGCTTTCCTCTTCAAAATCCAAATCACCAAAACTGAGAGGTAAAGAAACATTTTTAACTACATATTTAAGTAGAACTATTCTTTATTCCACCATTATAGATTGGGGGCTCGAAGCCTAAGTCTTGCTTGGCTTAATCTATGGGTAGAGGCTCAGGGCCCTGAATTTTTACCAGCTCCTAGCAAAGGCCAATGAGTATACTGATATAAAAGATAAGTGAAGAAATCTCTTATTTAAAAGCCCTCCATCAAAGGCACCAGGTCTCCATAACTGCTTATCCGGCACCCACACAATTCAGGGTGCTGGGTGAGCATTCCTTGCAAATGTTGACCTTCATATGGTCACTAAAATTTTGTTTTCAATTTTTTAATTTTGTTTTTTGTTTTTCTTCTTTTTGTTTTTTTAATATATATTTTTTCGATCATTACAATTTCTGAAACGTTTTTTGAATCAGGCTCTGTCTTAAGAAATACTATTAAGCAATTAAGTAATCTTTACCTCAACATCTAAAACCACCCACTACAGAGGTTTCTCACTCTTCTGTTTCTCCTGTTGGAATAAACCAAGGCCCAAAGCAGTCATGGACAACCTGCTGTCTTCCTTCCCTCCAGCAGCCACTCGGGTAAGTGGACCCTCGGCGAACTCTACTCCTCACAGTGGGGCTTCCACGATGAAGGGAGCAAAGACCACTGAGGGGAAGATCCGTTCTCCGTTCTCCTGCTGGCATTTATACCGCCCCAGAGCCCCGTAGCCACTCCCCCTGGCTAACCTAATCGTGATGTAATCACATCTCATCTAATTACCTCTCCCTCTTTCTCCATTTCTTAGTTATTCTGTTCCTAGCACTTTCATTTTATCACATGTGTACATCCAAAACAAATAACATAATTTGTTGTTTGCCCTTCCCATCATTTTAAAATTTAACCTAGAACTATATATTTGGAACACCATACACTATTTTCTGCATGTTTAAAATGTTCATACATAGCCTAGGCTGTCTCATTCTGTGTCTCTAAAGGGGACGGGCAGCTCAGTGTCCCATGGCAGGGAGCTCAGTGGAAACCAGGACTGGAGTGGAGATTCTGGCCTCTGTGGGGCCAAGGATAAGTGAGGTCTAAGAACAGCGTGGCTCACTGTGAGTCCGGGAATGGACTAGAGTATGCAGTGTGGCTGTGGGGGATGGGTCACCCAAACTCTCCATGTATCCATGGAATTTTTAAAAGCCCACCTCAGACGGGGAGAACTGCAAGAAGCCAAGTGTCAGTTCCAGGGACAGCTCCTGGAAAGAGTCAGTGGCTCGTGCTTTTAATCTCTGATGGGAACAGGAAGGCAAACAAGGCTCTAGGGTGTGGACGGGAGCTCAGCAACTCACCGGGATTTAAACATCCTGAGGTCTGGGCAGCACTTGGGGCTTGGGGATGGAGTGTAGACTCGCCTCTCTGCAGAGATGAGATGGGAGTTGATATAGTTTGGATGTGTGTCCCCGCCCAAATCTCCTATGGAACTGTCATCCCCAGTGTTTGACCTGGGGCCTGGTGGGAGATGATTGGATCATGGGGGCGCTTTTCTCATGAATGGTTTAGCCTCCTCCCGTGTGGTTGTGTCCTTGCCAGAGTGAGTGAGTTCTCATGAGATCTGAAAATTTAACAGTGTCAGCACCTGCCTCCCTACTCTCTTG